ATATAAAATGAAGCTTTACATGTTATCTCTCGTCTTATCTTTGGATCTGGAGCCAACCAATGGCTTGCAGAATCTCTTCTCGGGATGGGGAAAGGAGAAGAACCCTTTCGTTTCCATCATTACCTCAGCTCAACCGTCGCCGATGCGTAAACGAGTCGACCTCGGAACTCTTTCCGTCTCTCCCATGGGGTTGGGAACATTGAATCTACCATTGGATACGGAAGTGGATGAAGAAACCACGGGAGTCATTAAGATGGTCCAAAAATGTGGGGTGAATCTTGTGGACACTGCCGAAGCTGTGAGTCAGTCAGTCAATCCAACTATTACACAGTATCTCATCAGTTGCACTGAAATTCTCATGAAATTCTCACGTATGTTTATAACATCTCTATCCTATATCTATATATCATCCACCAGTATGGCTTTGGAAAGTCCGAAAGCTTGCTTCAGAACGCCTGTAAAAGTGCCGGATTGTCCATTGGAACCCAAGTTGACGACCCCAATGTCATTGCTGCTGCCACCAAATTCGCACCCGTCCCCTGGAGAACCGAGAGTCAGACTGTCGTGGATGCTTGCAAGGCATCTGCAAGTCGATTAGGAGTTGAGCAAATTCCGTTGTATCAGATTCATTGGCCTGATCTCATTCAACCATTCAAGGCATTTGGTCGAGAGAATCGCAAGGATGAAATATACTGGGAAGGATTGGCAGAGTGCTACAACAGTGGTCTCGCAGCCAATGTCGGAGTATCTAACTATGGTCCTGAAACTCTTCTTCGAGCTCAGGAGGCACTGTCGAAAAAGGGAGTCCCCATTGTATCCAATCAAATTAACCTGTCACTCATGAGATATCGGAGCTCGGAGAAGACGCTGCAAGTATGTGAGGATCTTGGTATTAAGGTTCTCTCCTACTTTCCTCTTGCTAATGGACTGTTGGCGGGCAAGTATTCCGTCGACACTCCTCCCTCTTTTCCCAAGAGTCTCACCATGAAAAAGTACTACGAAGATGCCGAACCAGTATTGGTAATCATGAGACGGATTGCCGCGGAAAAGCAAAAGACAGTCGCTCAAGTAGCCATCAACTGGGTCATGTGTAAGAATGCCATTCCCATTCCAGGAGCTCGATCCGCCAGCATGGCAAGGGATAATTTTGGTGCCATGGGTTGGGCCCTTTCACCCGAAGAAGTTGCCGAGCTGGAATACGCAGCCTCTTTGGTTGCTGAATTTAGCAATGGCGGCTTTGAGTTGGTATAGAACTAAATCCTAACTATACTGTACAGTATCGGTATGTTTTTGAACTGCCTTTTTTATGTAACTACAGTACTCCAATACTGGTAATAACATGGAGAGATAGATTTATCGCATTGGTATTACACATGATAACACATACAACATGCTCATTCTGATCAGATGTCTTTGATCGGTCGTGTTTATTATTTTTGGTAAGACGCGGGCGTTTGAGTCAGTTTTGTCGGCATTTTCCGGTGAATTCTGTTTTGACACCATATATGCACCACCACATCCTGTATTCATTCATTCCAGTGAAGACGATACAAAACAAAGAGGATGTCGACCAATAGCTTAACCGACCGTACTCCTGATCCTGAAGGACCAGAAGGACCAGAAGAAGTAGAAGAAGCCGAAGTAAATGGACCTGATTCATCTGAACGAGCTGAACAACACGCTTCCTTGGATCTTCAACCAATGCGCTCACCCAAAAGTCCTGTGCGCGATAGCATTGTGAAAGTGGGGACAAAAACCACCGCCGCCATGGGCAAAGCTACGAAATCAACGACCAATGCAGTGGTAAAAACTTCAAAGACCATTGCACACGCAACAGGAGACGCAACAAAGCAAATTGGATCGGCCATTAAGCATTCCGAAGAGGTCTACGAAAAGAGTCCCTGGTGTTCTGGCGTCCGTTGGATTCCCAAACACTTTCCTCGATTTATTTCGTTCTTCTTTGGTGTCCTTCTTCCATTGTGGATCCTTATTTTGATTTCGGCTGGATTTGGGATCCTTCTTGCTGACTATGAAGCCCCTGCGGAACTAGAATCGTAAGTAAATGAAGACCAGATTTGGTGATGGAACTCGTCGTGTGTGCAAGAAATATCCATTCTCACGCTTGTCTTTGGCCATTGCTCTTACCGATAGAAATCATGACATCTTGGCAAGCCGAGCAAGGCTGAACAAAACCTTTGTCAAGAGAACTGATTTGGGAAAGGTACCGGTAGATTGTATTTTGAATTACATGAATCAAGCCAATCGATCTATCTTTGAAGAACGAATCAAGTCGGATATCCTTTCATCTTCCACCTTGGACACGCTGGAGGGACTAAACCTCACCAATGTGACTGATATGAATGCTACTACCACTGTCAATGAAACAGACGCAACAGAAGGCACTGGCGCCTTTGATTTCTCGTTTGCCAACGCAACCAACAATGCTTCCGATACCATCGCATCGAACATTATTAATCTGATTGTCGAAACCGAAGACGAAATCTTGCTTTACATGACACAGTGTCAGAAAGAACAAAATGACGAAATCCAGGCATATCTCGAGGTGAGAGATGCGCATGGTGACACCGGTGCCGATTCCCTATCGTTCAACTGGATCCGATGTTGGCCCGAAAAAATCGACACTATCTGGGGAGATACACAGTTTGTATTTTTTCCTTCTCGTAGCTTGATCCAAGCCTCGCATCCAAATCAACAGGAAGCTTTCGTGGAAAGTGAATTCGCCCGAATCCTCGAGGAGGAGGAGGCGACATGTCTCGAGTCGGGAGAGGACAGCAACGAAGAATGCTTTGAACAAGCTATAGAGGCAGCATCTGCAGGTACTGGGGATGTCTGTCATGCTAATGTCGAGGGTACTAGCTGGTTTTTCTTCACCATTATGACCACAGTCGGTAAGTTCACTTATTCTCTCGTCATTCCGCACACGTTCTGGATCCTAATCTCTTACCCTTTTTGTTTTGTTTCTGACATTGGCCAGGTTATGGAAATCAGGCTCCGATTACAGAGGAAGGCCGCCTCGTTATCTACATTGGAGGAATTGCAGCTTTGATCTTATTCGCTTCGGTTCTGGGTTCTTCAGGTTACATCATACTGGCAATCTTTGACGACACTGTCGAACGATTTTATTTGTCCAGGTTTCTTTCGATTCCTATCGTCGGTGTTGTGATGTGGGGAGGAATCTGGATTGCTTGGGCCTACGGGATTGCCACGGATGCGGACAATTGGTGGGCCGAACGACTTCCGGACTTCGAAGTTGATCGAGACGATGCGCTTTGGTTTGCCTTTATTTCCACTTCTACCATTGGTCTTGGTGACTACTCCTTGCATCCCGCTGTCATGTTTGGAAGCGATGCCCTCTGGTTCAGTGCCGAATTCCTTATTGGATTCGTGTTCCTGTCTACCTTCCTGAATAAGATTGGTGAATTTCTCTTTTCGATGCTTCCAAAGCGAAAAAATAGTCTAGAAACAAGGCTCAAGGAGACCAACCTATTTTTTTGGAAACACTGGCCCTGTACCGACTATCTTCGCTCCTACATGCTCGAGGTAGAATCTGAAGCCACCAGCCAAGCTTCGGAACAACAACAACAACAGCCAGATATGCAGCAACAGGTTCAACGGGTGGAAGAACTCAAGTCACACCTGCCAAATCAATCAATTCCACCGCAGCTGATTACCATGGAAGATGAAAACAAGACAATGGATAGCTTGCTGGAGGAAGAGGAGATGATTTTGAAAGCACTCCTTGAATCGGCCGAGCAAAGGCGCTCTGAACTTCGTAATGCTGCTGCTGAGGAAAGTAGCCCAGTGGTGACACAACCTGTGATGCCAGATTTGGATAATTCCACCGAGATGGAGTCAAGTCCAACTACTGACACAAAGACTGATGCCAACGCTGTGGAATGTATGTCTGCCTAGTTTTTATTTTGGTTTTTTCGTCCATTTCTTCTCACTATTATAAAAAATGCAATACCGTAGAACTGTAGCTTAGGATACATGAAAATAAGGCGCCAATTCTATTATTCACAGTTTGTTGCAGAGTTTATCACGGGTGGTTCTGTCATACCGGGAGACTACTGTATGTTGCGGTTGCACACAACCTGTGAGTCACGAGTGAGACTTGTTTCATTCCCAGTCTCTCCTTTCTCCAAATATTATTATGGCAATTCTCATCCCAAGATTATCATAGCATACTGAATACTGCGCTCGACTGAAATAATAAGAACATTCGGAAGTACTGGTATGAGCAGATGGTGCACATAATAAGCACAATGAGGCCGACAAGGAAATATTCACCTGACGGCGCAGAAACATATCATCATGCAACAATAATACACCGCATGAGTCCGGGAAGGAAAGAGTCATCTGACGCCACAGAATCATATCATCATGGAACAATAATAAACAACATGAAATCGGCGAAGACAGCAGATTCATCTGACGCTGCAGAAACATTAGCTGATGCAAAAATAACACAGGAGGTGAAGTCGAAAAGGAAACATTTATCTGAAACTGCAGACACGTTAGGCGATGCAAAAATAGTACACAACAGGAAGTCGAAAAGTAAACATTCGTCTGAAGCTGCAGGAACAGTACCGGTAGATGATGCACCAGGAGCTGATGCGCTGCATTCTACTATTCCAAGGAACATCAGTATAGGAACTCAAAACTCCAAGGACCGAGCAACGCCACTGAATAATATACGACAGTTGCCACCTACAGGACAGCCAACGAAGAAAATCGGACTGCCCACCAAACCTTCAAGTCTCCGTTTGTCCCTTGTTGCAGATGTTGCAGAAAACGCAACAAAACGAATTGGATCATCTCTTGTAAATTCAGAACAGCAGCTGGCACGCGTTGCAGAACAAAAGGCGAAGCAGATTACGGATGTAACAACAAAACAAATTGGATCGGCTATCAAACAATCAGAAAGGGTGTACAAAAAGAGTCGCTGGTGTTTCTGGGCTCGTTTCATTGGTCGATTTCCCAAGTACTTTCCTCGAGTATTTTACTTTACCTTTGGTGTCCTGGTTCCGCTATGGCTGCTTATTCTGATTTCAGCTGGATTTGGAATCATTCTTGCGGATTATGAGGCTGCAGAAGAGAGAATATCGTAAGTACTTGGAGCTCCGGTGTTAAAACCTCTTTGATCAAACCCATCTCATTATCATTTTCTCTTTTTTGGCCGTCAGAAATCATGACATCTTGGCAAGTCGAGCAAGAACGAACCGAATATCCGTCGAAACGATCGATATTGGAAGTCTCCCTGTAGACTGCTACGTGCAATATCTGAACCAATCCAATCGATCGCTCTTTGAAGAACGCATCAACATGTACATCCTTGCTTCTTCCCGATTAGAGGGACGGGACTCATTAAACGCAACCGACGGTGGGGATACCGTCATGACGGATCCTTCTACTAATGTAAATGGAACAAAGAGTACAGATACGGACTATACTCCTGTCAATGAGACGATACCAAGCACCAATAATTTCTTCAACCGTGCCTTTTCCAGCACAACCAATATCGCTTTGGAACTCGGTAGCAACAGCACTGCAAACCATACAAACAGGACCGACAACTATACTTTCAGTGATTTAGTCATGGAAACCGAAGAGGATGCCTTACTTTACATGACACAATGTCAAAAGGAGAAAACAACTGACATCCAGACTTATCTCCAACTAAGAAATGCGCAAGTTTCTCCAACCGACGATCCCATGACCTTCAATTGGAACCGTTGTTGGTCTAAAGAAATGAACGATATCTGGGGACCTTCACGGTTTGCCTTCTTTCCTACTCCCGAGCTGATCGAGGCCTCGCGTCCTGCCCAACAGGAAGCTACGTTAGAGAACGAATTCATCCGAATCCTCAATGAAACGGAGAAGGCATGTCTCGATGATGGTGGAGAAGAAAACGAATGCTTTGAGTTAGCCTTGGAGGAGGCATCTGAAAGGGCTGGGGATATCTGTCATGATAATGTCGAGGGCACCAGCTGGTTTTTCTTCAGCGTTATGACCACAATCGGTAGGTCTGCTCATCTTGTCAACCAGCCAAATTTTGTGTTTCGTTCTCTAAGCATTCTTTCGCTACTTTTTTCATTGTCCTAATGTATTTTACAGGGTACGGAAACCAGGTTCCGATTACAGATGAAGGCCGTCTCCTGATCTACACCGGCGGAATCGCATGTTTGATTCTGTATGCTGCAGTTCTAGGTTCCGCTGGTTACATTATACTGGCAATCTTTGATGACTTTGTTGCTCGATTTTGGATTTCCCATTTTCTAAAATATCCTTTGGTTGGTGTTGGGGTATGGGGAGGAATTTGGATCGGATGGGCATATGGAATCGCTGTCGGAGCGGACAACTGGTGGCAAGAGCGCTTGCCAGACTTTGAAGTAGATCGAGGTGACTCGCTTTGGTTTGCATTTGTCTCCACGTCAACAATTGGTCTTGGTGACTATTTTTTGCAACCTGAAGTCATGTTTGCAAGCGATGCCCTCTGGTTCAGCTCCGTTTTTCTCATCGGGTTCGTGTTCTTATCCACATTTCTAAACAAGATTGGTGGCTTCCTAATCTCGGTTTTGCCCAAGCGAAGCAATAGTCTAGAGCATAGGCTGAAAGGAACCAATCTCTTCTTCTGGAAGCACTGGCCATGTATCGACTATATTCAATCTGACTATCTCCGATCCCTTGCTTACGACGATGACTCCGAAGACACCGATAAGACGTTGCAGCACCACCTCCAACAGGTCCAATGGGTGGAAACCCTGAAGTCACGTTTTGCAGATCAGAATTTGTCGCCACCACTAGATGACATGCATGTGGAAGGTGAAACGAGTATGGACGATTTGCTGGACGAAGAGGAGATGATACTGAGTGCCCTTCTGGATTCGGTGGAGCAAAGACGTTCTGAAATTCATGTTCGACATCGTAGGCGAAGGAGCCGCGATCACTAACATCAATAGATTGATACTAAAGACGTGCTGATAGCCCCTAGTTTTAATAAATGTGGATTTAAGTCTATTGCTAGACTCTTTTCTTTTATAATACCACAAGCTGGAGATAGGATACCTTTGCAATGCTCTACCGGTACAGGTACTATAGGTACTGGCACATGGTACATTCTGGTCCAGGTAGAGAGAGACATAAAAAGTACCGGTACTACTATGTCCTCTGTTCCTTTTGCGTTCTCTTGCGGTTCGTGCGGCAGTTTCGGCGAAATTCTGAGAGCGGTTGCGGGACGATTGACAAACCGCAGCATTTTTTAAAAAATCCTCCAAATCTGCTGTCCATATATTATACGGTAGTGGTACGGTACGATACCGGTGCAGTACCTTGGCAATTCCTGTTTTCATTGTTGAGAACAATAAAATACTACAGGATGTCGAAGCCGACGAAGGGTGCTCCTGCTGATTCTGCTGGTTCCTCCGTTGGCGGACCGGAAGCATCAAATGATGATGCGAAAGTAGCATCAGCGAGTATTCTTGGTGGTCTGGGCAAAGTGTCATCGCTAACACAAAACTCACTTGGAAAAGCTACGGATTTAACTACAAAGCATTTGACGAAAGCTACAGATGTAACTACAAAACATTTGACAAAAGCGACAGATGCAACAACGAAACAAATTGGGTCGGCTCTCAAGCAATCAGAAGAGGCCTACGAAACGAGTCAATGGTGTTTCTTGGCCCGCTTCATTGGTCAATTTCCAAAGTATTTTCCTCGAGTATTTTCACTCACCTTTGGTGTACTCGTTCCGTTGTGGTTCCTCATTCTAATCTCGGCTGGATTTGGAATCATTCTCGCAGATTATGAAGCTACAGAAGAAAGAATATCGTATGTAGTTTTGGATGAGGTTTTTTTGGTTGTCTGTTGAAGTTTTCTGGGTGGACCACCTCATCATTCTTTTCTCTATCTTCTTTGGTTTTTAGGAATCATGACATCTTGGCAAGTCGAGCAAGAATCAATAAAACTTTCGTGGAGAGGAATGATATAGGAGGTCTTCCTGTTGATTGCTTCATCCAATATTTGAGTCAATCCAATCGATCGCTTTTTGAAGAACGAATCAACTTGTATCTCCTTGCTTCTTCCCGATTCGAGGAACTGGAAGCATTAAACGAAACCAACATGACAGATCCTTACTTGAACTTTACCACGGTCAATGGCACGGAGACGATACAAGGCAGCACAAATATCTTCAGCAGCATCGCCAATGCCAACGCAACCAATGTCACGTTGGGCCTCGACAGCAACAGCACTGCGAATCACACCATCTTTTCTCCCATCATGAATTATACACTTGACGATGTAGTCACGGAAACCGAACAGGACATCTTGATGTACATAACCCAGTGCCAAGCAAAGCAAACTGCTGATATTCAGATATATCTCGAGGACGAAGCCAATTACGGTGAAAGCAGTACAAGTTCTTTGTCTTTCAATTGGAACCGTTGTTACGCCAAAGAAATCAATGAGGTGTGGGGTTCCACGAGATTTGTCTTCTTTCCTCCTCCTGAGTTGATCGAGGCTTCGCATCCTTCGCAACAAGAAGCTGCCGTGGAGACCGAGTTCGTCCGGATCCTCAATGAATCAGAGAAGGCGTGTCTCGGTGATGGTGGAGACGAAGAAGAATGCTTTGAACAAGCTTTGGAGGACGCCGCTGGGGCTGCTGGGGATGTTTGTCATGATAATGTGGAGGGCACAAGCTGGTTTTTCTTCACCATTATGACCACAGTCGGTAAGTCAAGTCTGTTCGTAAAAGTCATTCTGGATCCTAGTCTCAACATTTCTTTGTCATTATTGATTAGGGTATGGAAACCAAGCTCCCGTAACAGATGAAGGCCGTCTCCTTATTTACATTGCTGGGATCGCATGTTTGATTCTGTTTGCGGCAGTTTTAGGTTCTTCAGGTTACATCATACTTGCAATCTTTGATGACTTTGTTGATCGATTTCGGCTGTCCCGCTTTCTACAGTATCCTTCAGTCGGTGTTCTACTATGGGGAGGAATTTGGATTGGTTGGGCTTATGGCATTGCCACCGATGCGGACTACTGGTGGGCTGAACGACTCCCTGACTTTGATGTCGATCGAGACGACTCGCTATGGTTTGCGTTCATTTCCACATCTACCATTGGTCTTGGTGACTACTTTTTGCAACCTGAAGTCATGTTTGCAAGTGACGCCTTGAAATTCAGCGCTGCTTTTTTGATTGGGTTCGTCTTCCTATCAACCTTTCTGAACAAGATTGGTGAATTCCTCTTTTCAATACTCCCAAAGCGAGACAACAGTCTAGAAACTAGGCTGCAGAAGACCAACATCTTCTTTTGGAAGCACTGGCCCTGTATGAACTATATCAAATCGGACTATCTCCGATCCATTGGGTACAACGAGGATTCGGAAGAAACCGATGAAACATTGGATAAGCTGCAACCAAGTCAGAACCAGATCGAACGGGTTAAATTGGTCAAGTCACTCTTGCAGAATCAAAGCCTTCCTCCTCCACTGAACACCATGCATGCTGATAATGAAGAAGAAAAGACTATGGAAGACTTGCTGGACGAGGAGGAGCTAATATTGAAAGCACTGCTGGAATCAATTCCGCAAAGGCGCAATGAAATGCGAGATGCTACTAGGGGAGCTAGCCCAGCAGTGAAGGCAAAACCACTGATGACGGGATTGGTGCCGTTGCCAGATGATGACGACGATGTGTTGTCCGCGTAGGTGTAGTTTGTGTTCTGTTAGTTTATTTTTCATCCTGAAGCAAGCCCAAACTTATCTGTACTGTTCTCTCTTTTATTCTTCCCAGATTCTCCACTTACTATTAAAAAATAGAATCATACCGTAGAATACTTTTGCTACACTCACTCTAGTTTTTCATGTTTAGCAGATCTTAAGAATTTGTGGAAAGAATGAAGAATGAGAGTGAGAAGCCACTTAACCTTACTCGTACCAGGTACCGCGTCTCCACCAGAGAAGTCGAATAAGTCAATCGGCAAATGGACAGACGTCATTTCGGTTGGCATTCTGAAAACCTTGAACGACATGCTGTCGGTACCAGGTAGGTGGTATTACCAAAGTTCGGTCTTCACCTCCAAAGTAACACTGCCGTATCAGTAATCAGAAAGACAGCGGATCATGGCATCAACGAAAGAAGAAGAATCCTTGAGCAAAGCCCTGCAGCAAACGGAACTGTCGTCGCCTCCCTCCACAGCGACAACAGTACTCCGAGCACGACCCGAGTTTCTTCCAGCCTCCATTAGCCGTTCGTTTGTTATTTTGGGCGTCGAGACAGATGCTTGGGTTCAAATTTTTGCCGATCGTATAATGGTGGGAGTCACTCAGATGGATCGAAAGGTTGGCAATTGGTGTCTTTGTCAAGCGGAACAATCGGAAGTCAATCACAAGTCCATTGATTATTCCATCAATACCGTTTTGGGAGATCGGAAGGATGCCATGATTGGCGTCTATGCTAGACGGATTACCGAGCTTGTCATTGAGCGTCAGCTAATTCCTGGAAGTAATTACATGGCTGTCTTTTTGGGAATCTCGCTGAAAGATAAGGGAACCGACCGTGAAATGTTTCAACAGGTTGTCAATGTTCTGGTAGATCTGATAGCGGAAGCCTTGAAACTGTGATGGAACGGAATGGAACGAAAAGGAATTGCACGAGTGGCGAGAAGTAAACAGCCTCTGGTTGGCTTGGGTGGGTTCAAGAGAGGCACTCTATCAGCCGATGGAGTTGCCTTTCCAAGAATGGAAAGTGCTGTGAACCAGGATTGTACTACAACGCACTGTTCCAAATTGTTGAATTGCAACTGAAAATTGCAGGTATCTGAATACGGAAACATGAGATGGCCTTTCATGTGTGTGCCTCCATGCCCGTCCATTGTATCCTGTAAGACTAGAGAACAGTTTGTCTGAAACTTAGTTGATACTGTAGTTGTTTCAGATACATTTATAGTATCTGGTAGATGAAATGTATTTATCATACTTGATTTCTAGCTACCGGTACAGTGGCAATCATGTGTATTTATTTCTGTTTTATAATAATGCGTAGCTTATTTTATGTATATATTAAGTCTGGTTGTTGTTACTAGTCCTACTAAAAAAATGATATGTATTGTGTGTATAATACCCATGATTAGATATCAACAATTTGTTCCAAAAGGTCTCCAAAGACATTGTCATCCTCAATGTCCGCGAAGGCAGTTGAGTCTGCTGGGAAATCAAAGTCCTTGAAGAACTCATCGGCATCTGATGCCAAAAAGTTCTCATCGACATCGTCCCACGGAAGTGGTTCGAGTGATTCTTCCTTCTTTGGGACAACAGGAGCGGCAGTCGCCTTCAAGTCCCATGGCGCAGGTCTCATGTTACAGATAGGCACGGGATCAAAGGCACTGTCTCCAAGCAACGATTGCAAGGAAAGTTGTTGATTCATGACTGAGGCGCTGCTCATTTGAGGAGCCATAGAGGGCATGTTGGTTCCAACAAACGGCATGGCGTAAAAGTTTGGTTCTTGCTCAGGGTTGGAGCGAGCACGAATCTTGGTTCCCTTCACCTTGACACGGTGGATGTTTTGGACCAAAAAGACCTTGCCACGAAGGAAGAGTTCATGGTAGTAACCTCCTCGGTCGCGTCCCTTGGTGATCCGTTGAAAGCCATACAAGTTGAGCTGACGTTGGAAGGAAGCAATCTTGGTAACCTTGAAGTGCTTGTCCAAGATTGGAACAAAGGCCTTGGGGTCGCGGACAACAAAGCAGCGTCCGTGTGGTTGCCAAGAGACAATGTGCTCAAGTCCTTCGTTCTGAACGGCTTCAAGCATGGCGTGGAGCTTGAGTGGGAAGGGAGTAATGACTCCTCCGCGGGCGGGAACGTGCTTGAGTTCTGACTCGTAATCGTTGGCATGGTCGTGATAGTTGTGTTGGACAGTAATGTGGTGCTTCTGGTCCTTGATGGTGGGGTTTTGCCTCATTCTGGAAGGTTCGTTAGACGGCATGTTGGAACGCAGCAAAGACTGGAGGTCCGTGGATTGCTGTTGCTTGGCATTCCAGACATTCAACAGAGCTGCGTTAGCAGCGACTCCAGAAGAGGCATTGTTGCTGATGATACGACGATTGAGACCGATGCACATGGTTTGTATTTGTATTTTCTATAGAGCGTTGTTGGGGGTTGCGTTGATTTTGCAGAAGAGCTTTTTAATGAGATTCACTAATTTTCTTTCGAAAGATCAGAGTTTCAATGCCGCCGGAGAATTTGCTCATGATCAGAAGTTATATAATGTATCTGATTAAAGAAGTTCGTATTGGTGTCAAAGCTCTTAGTTGGGGAGCTCTCTATCCCGCTTATTGACCGCAGAAGCCAACGAAACGAAAAAGAACAAAAACATTCTATTCGACATCGCCAGATTATGATAATTTTTTATCACTCTCTCTTCTTCACTAGAACCCTAATTAATTTGTTAGCTCCTACATAAAGAGAGGCAATGCCTTTGTTAGCGCTGAAGAACGTCATTCTGAGGCATTCCCTTGATGACATGTTAAATGATCGGAAAATCAATTGAGCCACCGCAAGTCCCACATTCAATCAAGGCTCATGCGACCATTCGACTAGTAAGCTGGTTGAAGTGAAATGATCACTCAACGACCAATTGAACCTTCGTCGCGCGCGGCAGCTCATTCGCCGCACATACCGGTATCTTCTCCGAATCACATATATATTCATACTGTATCTTTCCGCTCAAGGCAAGGTGACGGGAAATTTGCAAGCAAGGACAGCGCTCTCAATGTCACATATCTCAGAAAAGGCCAAAAATTGGGCCGCGTGCGTGCAAAAAGATACTGCGTAAAAGAGTGGAAGAATTCTTAGGAATGATACTGCACACGTACCACAATGGAACGGAACAACTGCAAACTCTCACGAACGATGAGAGAGTGAGTCGTTTTCCTTTGGAACGAACGAACATGCACTTCTAATAACCGTACCTGGTACGGTACCAGTACCGGTACTGTAGTTGAAGCGCTTCGAATCGATTCTGCGGTGCCGTCCTTCGATTTGACAGGTGAATGGCGGAGACACAAGTTGGTTTGTTCGCTTCTTCGTCGCCATCACCATTCTTCATTGTTCTCGGTGAATACAAGGGTTATGGTGCTTCAATCTTTTGAAAAAGGAGCCATACCTACCAATAGAAATCGCTGAATGATAGCTGCGACCTATTTCTCTCTCGATCCTGCTTCGTATGAGCCCATTGTCAAAGGAAGAACTGGTAATAGAAGAACGAGGTGTGCTGATGACAATACACCGTGATGCCAATATGAATGAATGAATCTGATGCAAGCCAAAAAGACAGAAGTATTTTGTATGGCGAAAGGCTGACATGTTGAGATCGTCTGCGGCAATATCATCAGCACTATGATTGTGAAAGGAGCAGCACATAAGTATGAAGGTTCGATTGGCCATTGATTGTACTGGTGATAGTCCACCACTTTCGAACTTTGAACGACTCGAGGATCTTGACTGAAAATGAATATTCCGTTTGGTTCCGTTGATATATTGGTACGCTGCTCAGCAGATGCGGATGTGTGCTACCGTTTTTCTACATTTCAAACAATGACCATTCCATATCCAATGAAAACCACATTTAAAAGACCATGGAAACCATATTTGAAGCAGTTTCGGAGCTAATAAACACTATAGGACTGCATTTATGATAATTACATGGTGGAATGTACTTTAAAATAAGTTCCGATCAACAAAGGTAGCAAAATTGTCTTCGTGGATGATTCCAAGACAGATTTGGATCCGATTATGATCATGGGCAGTTCCAGGCGCCACAAGCTATCATAACTGCACTGCTGGGAATCAATCCTCGTGCCCCATGCACAGAGATTGAAGGAAGTACAGTAGTAACAAACCCCATGAGCCCTTTGCACGGAATGTGATCATAGTAGCAGAATCGTGTGTTATATTTGCCATTTGAAAAGGTAGGCGAGTGTTGTTCCCGTTGCAACCCCAATACTTGATACCAGTGAAAGTATGACAATTCCAATTGCAAATAGGAGAACGAGTGCTATCCCATGGGTCCACACTGGAAATCGACTTTGAATTCCCTTTGGGATCCACTTTCGTTCCATAAAGGTTACGAACTTCTCCATTGGAAGGACTGAGAACACCGTGGCTGCCCCTTGGAGGATCAGCATCAAAGGTGCAAAAACAAGCCGAACTTTGATAAAGTTCCGTATTATAAGTGGCGAATTTGCTTTCCAAAAGGCTTTCGAGAGTCCAATCAGGGTATGATGTTGTTTCAACATCAGATCGGTCGGTGGTGCTGTAACACAAGTCTGGAGCCATCCACCACAGAAGTACAAGGACGTCGCAAGATTTCCATAGAATCCCCACGTCACCAAGGCAATGGCGAGAAGTCTAATGAATGCCACTATCAAAATATTTCGCTGATCGGGAGTGAACTGGTCCATGTATTGATTGTAGAGATGCACGGGATCCAGCGTTCGGCCTTTCCAGGTGTGAAGCGAAACCTCTGCGCCGCGAATTGCTCGAGATGTAAGGTCTCCGAATCGGTACTGGTCATTTCCTAAGATGACACCTCCTGTATGGCTGACAATGTCGCTCGTGATCTCTCCAATTTCATAGGTTGCATTTGAGGAGTTGTAGTCTTTCCCTGTCAAGTCGCTTAGTCTTTTCTTTGTGTAGTCGCCAAAGAGGTAGTCTTGGTCACCTATGATGCTTTGCACAGCACTTTCCACCAATGATTTCAACTTGGAAGAAGATGACCTCGGATTGCCAGATAGTATTGATGATGGGGAAGTTTCTTCATCGTCACGGTGGCCATGATCCAATTGTTTGTGACGCGCATGTAGAGATGTGAAGACCTTTGTTATTCGTCGAACGGATACTGCGGAAGCCCGATGATTCAGTTGTATAGAAAAACTCACTGTTTGCTGGGAGAAACAGAGGATTACAGCAAGGATGGAAACGATCACATTATGTCCATGCCTCCAATATCTTGCCATTGGAACTGTTTCTGATGAAGGACGATACCAACAGCATACTGTACATAATGGAATCGTCATCATCGCGTCGATCTCATAAAATCCTCCAGTCATTTTTCAAATCCGGGTTCCTTGGATCAAATCAAAATCGCCCATACATGCTAACAGACACAAATCACCAACAAACAAAAAGCTAAACGTTGCTACATGTATTGCTATTGCAACATGGATATACTACAATTCCAAGGGCAAAGAGCAAAAATTATTATACTGATACAATCTGATTTGTAGTCCAGCAGCACCATGTCTTAGGTAAAATCACCGTCCCAAGGAAGAATCCTTCGAAATGGATGATGCCGTTCTGTTAATGGGCTTTCGATTTGACGCTGGTGCGGCAGATCTATCTATGATCTTGCCCATCACTGCTGAAGCTGCCATCCCAGCCGCTATTGATACTGCAAGAGGAGCTGCAGGTCCTAGCATAAACGTCCCAGCGATGAAGGCAGCACCCCCAGCACCGGCAGCTCCAAGTCTCGACCTGTTATCTTTGGCGTACTTTCGCGTATTCGCAGTGGCCCCAACAAACCAGTCGATTGCATTCCCTTGACCCGATAACTTCCCACGCATGAAAGCCCCTTCGTCTGTCGCTTCTTTGGCGGCATATGCAATCCCTCGAACAACGTCAAGCGGCTGGAACCTATCCTCATATGAAGATTCCTCCTTGCAATTCTTCTCTTTCCGACTCCTCTTGCCAGCGGCTATGGCACCCTTCACTGCATCTCTGTGAAACGAGGAAGAACAGAACAGCTGTGAGTATCCGAGGAAAAACGAGTCACATTCAGTAGCAACAAATGACACGACGAACGTACACTCCAGCAACAGCTGCCATCCCTCCAAGTGGACCAAAATGTGTCGCTGATAGCATCCAACTGCCGTATGTCGAGGCTCCAGAGTCAAAGACATTGACACCGAGAACTTCGGCGTTTGTAATGAAACCGGGAAACTTTTGGAGAATATGTCGAGTGTAATGCCGTAACAAGTCCCGCTCCGTGGTGGCCATGGTACCCATGAACGGCCGAATAATCATCTTGCTATGTTTGGTGGATACGATCCCCTTGAATGACACTTCCAAGTTCAACGGTTCAATATGAGCAAACGGCAGCCTATAATTCTTCTTCTCGCTTGTCGCTTTCGGTCGATTAGTGAACCGATTCTCCCATTCATCGGTAGAACGCCCTGCGGTCAAACTGGTAGAAGCTGCTGCAAAGTGAAGCTTCTCGATAACATCATCTTCGTAGATGGGAACATGAGCTGTAATGGCAACATCTGTCAAATCTATCAATTCATTCTTCACGTTCTTGGCACAAAAAGAAACATCAATTCCCGGTGCGACGTCCAGGTCGAACTCTCGCACAACGGTCATTGCATTGTTCTTGTAAGCATTCACAATGTGCAAATCATCAATGGAAAGATTGATGGGGAATATCAATGCTGCCTTCCAATTTGCCGCCGATCGATCCTTACTGTCGGTGGACGACGGCTTCTCGTGTTCCTCTAGTCGAGTTGCGAAGACAGAAGAAAAGGCCATGCGGAGAGTTTCCCCATCATACGCCAATAAGACATCCTTTGTTGCTTCGTTCAATTCACCAGTGCCAGGTACGCGAAACCTATCAATCGATTCCATTTTGAGCGCAACCGATGGCCGAACCGTCGCGTGGATTCCGCTGATTCGAAGGCGAAGCTGATCATCTGAATGTCGTCGCCCACCACCTGCATCCAAATGGTCCGCAACGAATTCTGCCAATGTCCCATCTGCGCGGTACCGCATGACGATCGAACCAATAGAAAGGGTAGAGTTCTGGGTGTGAATGGACCCACCATTGAGTGGTATTTCAAAAAAGGAAACCGGGTCATCTCCTCGATCATAATCGCTTAACGACATTTCAATCCCATCACTTTCATCCCCCGAGTCCAATTTTGTTTCTTTTCTAGGTGCCAAGAAATAACCAGCAAGCTCCTTTAGAGCTTCGATTTGCAAGTAATCAGCAAAGAATGTTAATTTTCCGTCAGCTGGAGGGTCTCCTCGAACTTCCAGACCAGTCGCCATACCGGTGAGAAAGCGATCTCCCGAGAGTCGCAAAGCCGTAGCCTTGTACGAGAAAGTGTCGAGAATTGGCTTGGTTTCCTTTGTGGTGTGGATATCGACAGCAAAGGATTCCAAAACAAAAAGTTGCTCCAAAGGAAGCGAAGCTTTGGACAGATTCTCGTGAATAAGTTCGACTTCAGCCCCTTCTGTGGCCATGGAAATCGTCTCGGACTCTCCAACTTGCACGCTCATTATGCTCCCTTCTCGGTTTCTGCCTCGCGATAGGACATCAACAGCCTTGCCCCCAATGACAATAGAAACGATATCTTCTTGCTTTCCATTTGAATCAAGATCAATCGTTAACTTGTAATCCTCAATATGAAGGTTCAAGGAATCGACAACAGCCGCCATTTGCCTTTTCAAATAGGTCGTCAGGGTGCTATTTTTCTGTTTGGATCTCTTTTTTCGCGGAGATAACTCGGCATTTGAAAAGTGTTTCCTAGCAGTCTTGTTATTCCACCAAAACAGCTCAACGCGAAACTTTAACCCACGAATGAACAATGTAGCGTCTTGAACCCATCCCGGATCTGCCGACTGACCAACATTCCAGGTCCATGTGAAAACGATTTGGCTCACCACTCCCGTGACATGGGCAACAGAAGACCGGTCGCTGTCTTCATCACCAAAAGATTGAACGACGCGCCATTGCTCTTTAAGCAAGACGTCATTCAAGACAATTTTGGTATCAGACAGAAGGTTGGACTTGATTTTCTTCTCATCGACTTCAAAATATTGTGCCAAGTTGGATGCAATGACACTCGACAAGCTGTGAAGTTGAAGAAAGCAGCGTGCAAACAGTGAGCAAGACAACGGGACCAAGTGAAAAGAAAAAGAAACCATGGTGATAACGTACAGAGACTTTGGTCCCTTCACTCGTTTACCGAATACCTTCATGTCTCTTTGTGGAAGATGAGGGACCTAGGTAGTCTCAGGAGTAGTCATGATATTGCCATTGTCGTTTTCAGCAGAATATAAGTAAAAGTAATAAGTTGAAAGTAATGAAATAATAAGAGAGGTCGAAACATATTTTGAAAATGCTGTATTGAAAATGAGCGATGCGCATGTCAATGCATGATGACTGTTCCAGTACCTTTTGGGACATCCTGTCCTCCGTCAGTGCATCTTCTTTTCGGGAAAACCCTGAACTTCGCCTTCGTCAGAAACAAAAATAAATATCACTTCTGGTCACACAGGAAAAAGGCATTATGTAAATGTTGTTCTTTGTTTCGGCAAAACTCTGAATAAGCCAATTCAGAAACGAAAAATATGTCTCTTCTGGTCACAGAAGATTAAATCCATATATGTGCTTGGTTCTCAATTCATACAAGTGCTCAAAAAATCTGCACCTAAAAGAGTCACCAAGGAACAATGCGAAAATTCCTCGCGAACTAGCAATGACCTTCTACTTTTTGGTTTACTCTCACAAAAACACAAGCTTCAACTTTTACAACACTTTACAAATATCGACATCGATACGATCCCCCATCAGACGTATAAGACTAGAAAGCAGCCATGAATAATCCAGAGACAAACAATCACAGTCCTCGTTCCTTTATGAAGAACCATCAGTTCTCTTTCAGGGTGAGCAAAAAGCCACATCCGCAACTCCAATCGTTACCACCAGAAGAAGAACAAAATCATCGAAGACTAGAATTCATTCGTAACAAAAATCTCAGGCGCATCTTGGGAGCGAAACATAATGAAGATGCAAACCCTCATCATCAAGATCATGGGTTTCACATGCAGGAGCATCATACTTTGACCATTCGATCGTACCTTGGTTCTGGCGTTGAAATGATCCCAGAGTCGTCAAAGGAATTCGAATTGGGAGTCAATGAAAAGACGGACTCACAAAAAGGAATGCATTCGTATGACAAGTCACATTGTGCTGAAGAAAAGAAGGAAGAGACAACAGAACACTCAAGTTTCCCTCCATTTTCTCCGTCGCCCGTTGAAAGGAAAGTGGTCCATACCATTGACGAAATGCCAATCCCCATGAGAAAGTCCAAAAGAAATATCTTTGATGATGATGACGGTATCAACGGCAAGTCGTTCGGCAAAAATTCGCGTTCTGCTCCCGATCTCAGATTGGAAAGATCTCGCCCTACACCAGGACTTGTGAAGAGCCGCAACCTGGTTGCAAATGCTTCCGCATCCACACTCAATGCTCAATTTGACGATGATAAGGATGGCGACACCAAGTCGTTCGGCAATAATTCGCATTCTGCCCCCGACCTCCGATTAGAAAGACCTCGCCCTCCACCAGGACTAATGAAGAGGCGCAATTCGGTTACAAAATTTTCCAAATCCATGCTCAATGCTCAGTTTGATGATGATAACGATGATGACATCAAGAGCAATACTCCACTTTCTTCTCCCGACCACACATCAGAAAGACCTCGCCCTCCACCAGGACTAATGAAGAGGCGCAATTCGGTTACAAAATTTTCCGAACCCACGCTCAATGCTCAGTTTGAATCCGCATCTAAAAGTGAAGAATAAGAGTACCATCTCTTTCAGTGACCGTGGAATCGTAAGGGTTTGTTTCCGTCCTTCTGTTGGAAACGGAAATAATAGAACGATACATATATATAAGAAATAAAAGGATCTTTCGAGTACTAATCGCGTACCTGTAGTCATCATTTCAACAGGAGTGCCTATCGTGGGCTCTTGTTTGTTTTCGTCCATGATTTTCATCGTTATGACCCATGCACTTACCATGCCCTCATGATAGCTACCACTGTGTGTAGCAGTTTCCATGAAGCGTACAGTGCTGGGGGTCTGGAGTAGCGTTTTGGTCCCTTTACTCGTTTACCGAATACCTTCATATCTCTGTGTCGAAGATTGCGGGTCTAGGTATTCTCAATTGGAACTATTCATCTTGCTCTCTGTGATATGCAGGACTCAGATCTTGAGCCACGTCGTACTTCAGTGCCAATGGCATTTACAGGAAGCTACTGGACAGAACCACACCAATATTTTAGTGTTGATGAGCTCCTCTGTGTATCCTTCGCCATTATTCGTATAGTTTGGTTTGATTTTCGTGTGTACTTTCCATTGCTGTTGGCTTTGATGCGGCCAGAAGATGGCGGACAAGGATTTCATTGACGGTGCCGTTGCCCCTGCAATAATACTTCGTTTGATATATGAACTTCTCGAATGGATGAATGAATGAATGAATGAATGAATCAATCAATCAATCAATCAATCAATCAATCAATCAATCAATTATCGGTAATGGCAGAGACATTTGTGCGTCATCAGGGCCTAAGTGACCCCCTCGTCCAATGGGGGAGCAGCAGTAGTTTGAGTCAACGAAGCGAAATGATTGGAAGCTTATTGTATCATTGTACAGTACAGTGTACATCCAATAGGCATCACCGATACCGCCGATGTGACAATGACAATGTGGTTGGATTGGATATGGATCAGTTTTCCAGTCACGCGTCAAGGATTCAATCACGAATTGCGATGACCTTCCGCGGTCACAAGAGAGTCAGTCATCCGGATCTGGTAGGACGACACCGTGGAACGGACGAAGACAACACCCAAGTCTATCTATCCTTGATAGCAATATAAACCAATACAAAAGCAACAACATGTCTTTACCCGAAAACGAAGTTGCTGAGCTCAAGGAGCATTTCGAACTTTATGATTTGCACAGCGCAGGTGCGTACGAGGCAATGCCACAACTACAACAATACTCTTGGAACAGGAGGGGGCAGACGGAGAGTTGTGTCGTGTAGGAATGATAGATAGGATAGCAAGTTGCTCACAGTTCCGTTTTGTTTATTTCTTGTTCAGGATTCATCAGCGTGCGTGAACTTGGTTGGGCTGTCCGAGGATACGGAGTTAATGTTACGGAGAGTTCCTTGAAGCATGCTGTTGAAAAGGTAGGTTACATAATGCCCGGATTGTTTTCGGCGGGTCTACAAGACGAGCACTTTGGCAATGTTTGTGTACGAAACAAGTTGCTAACCTTTGCTCTTCATTCACATCTCTTTCTCTTGTTCTCTATTTCAGTATGATAACGGAAAGGGACAAATCATGTTTTCTGATTATGTTGATTTCATGGCCCGTAAGATGACAGATCCCGGTCTGAATGAAGAAGATATAATGGATTCTTTCTCTGTCTTTGACAAGGATAAGAAGGGAAAAGTAAATGTAAAGGAATTGAAGGACGTCATGTGTAAGATGGGAGAGCCCATGACTGGAGCAGAGATTGAAGGTGTCCTGAAGGATGCTGAAATTGATGCCGACGGAAATATGAATTACAAGGATTTTGTCAAGAGACTGAACGATATGTACGAACTCTTTGCCTAAGCGGTGGAATGATCGTGCATATCCATCGCTGATGGATAAAGCATATTTATTGTGAGCGTGATTGGGGCCAATAGAAGGAGGTCCCTGTTGCGCGGTTAAAAAATTATCTTAACTTGTTTATCTTTTTTTGGACGACTTGTCTTTTTGTAATACTGCAATAGCTACTACCAGAAAATCGATGCTATCGGTAGGAATTAATGAACCATCCGTCTTTACCATCATTTGAGTATTCTCCAGTATATCGTGGTATACATAGGCAGGTGTTGCACATCTACACGTTAAACACCTCTCTTGTAGGCCACTGCTTGGGACATACTGCCGTTCAGTTATGTTTGAAGCGGAATGAATCAATCATCGCCAGTTTGATCATTGCCATCCAAAGCATGTTGCTCGGGTGCTAGAAGCGGTTCCTCCAGATCATTTTCCTCATCCAGTAGTAATCCGTCTCCTTGGTCCCCAGCGGTGTGACTGCTGTGGTCGTAACAACACAACAAGATGATCTGAGCAAATCCTAGCAAGAAACCAATAGTATTGGGCCCAAAGATGTATGGATCATTCCTCTTTACACCATATGCCACCCAAAAGATTGCATTGGTGGAATTCATAATCATGGTGGGTCGGTGAATGCTGTCCGAGGACTTGGATCGTAGGACTGTTTGTATCGTTTGCAAGGGAGCTCCGTAGAAAAAGATGAGGTTGATGTTTACCAGAATTCCAATGGCATTGATTTGACCTTCCACAGTATGAAAAAGTCCGGACCAACCCACAAGAATCAAAATAAGAATCCAAACGACAAGTACCCGTAATAACAGAGTCTCTTGAGGCACAAATTGAAGACTATCGTCTCGTTGAATTGCCAGCATTTCGGATGATTCCACCACTCCTGCCTCTCCATTCCCATCCGTAATGTTGTTGTCGCTGTTGTTATCTAAAACTTCATGGGAAGCATTCCTTAATCTTATTCGGTCTTGATACTGTAGTTTTGCAGCACCCATATTCAACCAAACCGACAAGACCAAGCCTGGAAAGTTGGATGCGAGCATGAATGGATCATGGTTGTAGTAGCCGTAGGCGCACCAGCCCTAAGACAGAAAGGCAAAAACGAGAAAAGTGAGACGGACCTGTTGTCTTTTGGAAGATGATGGATTCTCGTATACTGTTGGTAGCAGCAAAAAGCATGACAAGAAACGCCACGTACCACAGTATTCCCCGTCATGATTGCCCAAGGTATTGGGTTCAAGGATCCAAGTGATCCTGCTGATAGAGCCTCCTGTAAATCTGGTACGGCGGCTAGATTGGAAGTGCGACAGAGGATGCAAACGAGAGAGAACAAAGAAAGATTTAGCGTCATCTAAGGAGCATGGAATGATTCACAGAAACGACGTTTGACAGAAATAAGACACGACAAGCTTACCAGAATACATTGCTGCCGATAAAATGCACCCCAAACTCGGACAAACGTAGGAGAATATAATATCAGAAACTGTCATTATCATCTTTCTTGTAAAGTAGAAAGTAGTCTATTGGCAGGCATCGGCATCGCCAACAGTACTGTGTGATTATTTTATCACAGATCATATTTTCGTTGAAGACGAGCTCTGATGAAACTTCTGATCGTTTCAATTTCGGAGTCTGATGAATCAAATAAGTACCATAAAATATTTTCGCTTCGGACATTAACATCTGTTACAGGTCGTCATCATCATATAAACAATAATCACCATGATGAACATGTCATGGTTCTAACTTGCATGTTGAAACCACGGTAGCATTTTTTATTGAATGGTGTGACTGACTGGCTGACTGACTCACTCATCCCATCAACTGCACAAGAATCACGCATGTCCGAGTTTTTGAAACGAAAGCAGGGCATCTTGAAACTGGCCAGCTTTTTGGCAGTCATCCTTCTGTTCCTTCAGAACTTCCTTTTGACGAAACAAGGCTTTCGGAAGGCCCTTGTGCCGACAAAAGTCAGTGTCGAGAATGAGTACAATGTCAACAGAACGGACACTGAATTCCAACGGGATGCAAACAGTACGGGTGTTGATGAGCCTGCTGCATCGAAACGAGTAGACTATGAGAACCATGTGCAACCCGACACGTCACCATCATCACCGCAAGTTCCATCCCGTACACCAACCACAGCAGAAGTGTCAGAAGATGCAGAAGATGGAGACTGTATTAGGCGATGTGCCAATCGAAAGAATAGAATATACGCCTCCATTGGCTTTGCTGGAATGAGCGATCGTGCATCGATCGTTGTCATGGTGTCGAAATTGGCTGGTTACTTGTGTGCGGTGGTCGATTTGCCAGCACCCATGTCATCCTTTGCTCGCTCCCACAATCTGGGCAAAAAGATAAGGGAAGAAGTTACATGGGGCGACTTTTTCAATCTTACCTTTCGTCAAGACGGTTCACAGAGTCTATATGACATTCGAGACAATCCGAATCGATCTTTCACCGACAACACCACTAGACACAAGAGGGGCGCCCTGCTGCGCTTTTACAACAGATCCAAGTATCCTCCGGACTGGACATTATTGATATCCAACAAGTCAAGCAATCTACTCCACGATTTCGAGCAACTGCAGCGACATTCTTGGGAACATGAATACGATGCCGACCGAGGCTTTTTGTGGGAAATACATCGGGTATTGTACAAATCGGATTTGCGAAAGGTCGATAGACTGCCCGGGCTCAATGATACGGAAGCAAAGCAACTATTACGACCCGAACAGACCTATCATGATCGAATGCGTCCTTCGCTATTGACTAAGGTACCAGCATGTCAATATGCCTCGCAAACACCAGAAGAAATGGAGCCAGCTCCACTGCATAGTTTTCGGACCGAGTTGCGAAGGCGAGTTCGGGCACTGGCTCCAGGAGGCACTTCCACAATCTTTGGCTTTTTCCATATTCGACGAGGAGATTCCAAAAAGGTGTGCAACACCACGTTGCCCGACTTGGAAAGCTATTTGAAATGTTCCTTGAATGGAACGGAATCAACAGGAAAGACTATTACCCTCTTGATGGGCAGCGACGAGCGAAATGCAAAGTATCGTCAACAAGTTTTGGACTTGGTGAACAATAGCAGCAATGCAGCATTGCCTTCTTATCCTCACGTCTCCATGCTGGATGCGGACGCGATTACCAAAGAATTGATGGAAGACTTGGTGGCACAAAAGGCCATGCCGGAATGGCTATCGAGCAACCACTATCAATTTCTACTGCTACAAGGAATTGGAATGTTGGGAGCCTTTAATTTCTCTTCGTTTTATCTCAGCAAGAGACGGAGCGATTGCCGTCCCTGCAACCATCTCTTGACGGCCCACCCAGAACTCTGGAACTGATACGAGGGTCGGGGTGAAGGAATCTGGAAGCAGCAGATGAAAAGAGCGCGGAAAATTACCCTTTGCTATCACTCGATTGGTCCAACGCCCAAATGTTGGAAGTGATTAGCTTAGGACTGCCAAGACCTTTGTTGATTGATTCTTTGGACTATTTGTTTATACTGCTATCTATTTCAAACTACTTTGCCTTGCCGTAGCTTTTGTTTTATCTAATATGTTTACTCTACTGAATTTGCCATTACATCTATATTATGAGCTCTCATCGCTTCATGACGAATTTCCTTTGAACGACAATTCGAACCTTATTTGAACCGCACCTTCAAGGTTTCCTCCACTGTTATTCATCAATCCCCAGTTGTGTGTTTCCCCGTGAGACTTTCAATCTCCTTGGCAAGACCTTGGATCGACGCCTAGACATCAGTGAGACCTGGCGTGCCCGCAGTCGCATTATTGCCAGGGGTAGAAACCATCCATGTTTAAAAACTCGCATTCTTTTTAGGAATGCAAACAATGAACTCTGTGGCAACAAAGATCACCCAGCTCTGTCGCTCTTTTTAAAACAAACCCAGGACTGTAAGATTGCAAAAACTGACGGTCTTGACCGAACAGCTATGCTCCTTCTATCGTCTCCATCATCCCACAAGCTCCCATTGCGAACAATGTCATTCTCCAAATCGACGTGACGGAAATTGAGACTAAGGAAGAGCTAGAAACGCCCATACGTCTCCCGTCTTACTTGCCGATAAACCATCATCACAAAATTCGTCTGCCCATCATGCGATTGAGCAATCTATTTTTTTATATATATCTAACTTCATTGCGAATAAATCAATAACGATACTGAAGTTGAACGCCAATCTTGGCGTTGAGGAAAAACAGACGCGAGGCGTTGATGCCGTCAGACGTGCCCTTTTCCTGCACGCTGATTGGTAGAATTGTCCGTTGCGTACAGACCAAGCGCCGTTGCGTACAGATCAAAGCCGTTGCGTACAGATCAAAAATTTGACGTACAGATCAAAAATTTGGCGTACAGATCAAAACCGTTACGTACAGATCAAAACCGTTACGTACAGATCAAAACCCAACCGGGTAAAGGATCTTGATGTTCTAGCTGAAGCCAACGATGATATTTTGGACTCCTATTTCTTGCTAGCAAAAGAGGAAAGAAGCAAAAGAGAACCAACAGGCACAAAACCTGATTCGTCCAACGCGTCTTGTGCTATCGCGTTTGAACGAACCGCGGTCAACATACTCGAAAACAACATGAACTTTCAAGGCGGCGCAACTGCAAGTTCGCCATTCCGCCAGGGTAATTTTGATCTTCTCTACAATCTCTGTACTCAAGCCAGTATACATAGATTGTTGAGAGAATATAAAGATGATGTGGCTTCAGGTGGCGAGAAAGAAGCGAGTGCTATTTCATTTACTTGGCTCCGAGAATTTTACGTTTCGCGTGTGGAAGAATTTTTTGATGGAAACCAACGGTATGGTCGAGCCGACGACTTCATTGAACAACTCTTGTTATCTTCTCCATCTGTCGTCTACACCGATAATGGAAAGGCTGGGTTAGCAGATCCAATGGGGCTGGCGGAAGCAATCATCTCGAAGCGGCGAGAAGTAGTGGATGAATGGAAGGTTCTGATGACAAATGTCCCGACAGATCACGCTGATGGCATTCGAAAGAACTTGTTGAATAAGCAGATGGAATCGTGGGGATCGGGACCCCCGTTGGGACAAGGATTTCAATAGAAATGTTTCGACAAGGAACGAGCGCGTCGCTGCTGCTTTCTTTGCTCACGTTTCCACTTGTGCAGTATGTTGGGAGGGAGAGTGACTGACTCACGCGATCACCCCACTTGTTGGTGGTGAAGATGCTACAGCATAGACTTTGTGTGATGTGCTTAGCAGCAGTACAACTATGGACGGATGCCTTTTTATCCGGGTTGCGATGGAAGGATTCGCTAGGCAGTGCTACGAGTAGTCATACTATGCAACTACTCTCAAAATTGTTAGATTCTAAGAAATACAAGCATTGCCTTACTGCAACTTTTAAAAGGATGTTATGGATTTTCTTCGCTTTTTCTCGACTTACATCGCATATCATATCAAAGCCTAAAAGCCTTTCTAGCAGCGTGATGCAAATGATCGACTGTGCTTGGCTTCTGACGGAAGTGGCCGATGTGAGATTCCGTGAATCGCTCCCAGATGACGGAGGCTGTAAACGAATCAAGTGATAGGCATCCGCAAGCCATGAGCATCGAAGATTGCCTCCCAATGAAGTCCAGTCGAAATTATCTAGAGGACGCTCTCTATTTTGTCTCTCGCTGGTGTTTCCACTAGGATTCTTCCACAGACACATAACTATCTCTGCAATATTGGAACGTCCTCTCGGTCTTCTTTCACCTGCTCGTAATTCAATTTGGCGCTCTCCTCGCTTTTCGGTTCCCCAGTTTTCCCCATGGACTGAAAGAGAAGGAAGGACAGCAACATCTTCAAAAATTCTACAACTGCTTTCCGCGATAGTGCATTCTTGGATGGTACAACTGCTTTACTGGTGGTTTCCTGTTTCGTTTTTTCCATTTTCCCTGCCCCAAAGAAAAATAAAGTTTGTAAGCTTTTAAACTCAAGTTCGAATACTTGTCTCGTCCATTGTTTTTTACCTTTCACTTTCACTTCCTCGTGAAGTCCCTTTTTTACGGATGCAACATCGTCGTCCTCCTCCTCTTGACACAGTCTTCCTTTCTTCGGTTTGCAGCAATCCAAAAAACATGAGAATGTTGGACAATTGTCCTGGGGTACCATCAACTCTGGTGGACTGAAATTTCTATCCGGATCCATGGCTTCACTGGAACTTCGAGACAAGAAAGACACAGACAGCAGCAAACAAGTCGTGCTGAAATAAGTTGCACTTGTGTGATTCATACCAATGGACTTGCAAGTCCGGCGTAGCGTATTTTTAACGGTTCCCGAGCAAGAATATCTCGGTACTGTAACATCTTCAACCCTGCGCTCATCATATTGCAATCTTACACGGTCAGTTTTTTTCCCCCCCTATAGGCGAAAAAAAGTACGAGTCAAGGACAGCGCGCCGGCATGGTCGCGGCGTAAAACCAAGATTTCTTTTTAAGTGAATTTTTGGGGTCGTTAAGTAATGTTCATGTCGCGTCCTTTTCTGGGTGAAAACAGGGACAGCCCTTAAGCTAACCTGGTTCATTTTCGGGGAAAAAAGTACATCGCAAGGACATCGACATTTCTTCAGACACTAGGTCAGACAGGATCCCATCCAGTCTTTCGACACGTCATCATGCTACTAAATTACTCTATGAAACGCCATGTCTGCTACTAAATTATTCGATACCACTCGCTGTATTGGGTAGAGTATGTACATGAAGCTACCACTGCTAGATCAAATGAACTGTCGTTTACTACTTTTAATGTCCCTATTGAATGATCTAAAGAAATCCAGAACCCGGCTCTTACCTTCTGTGTCTCTTTTCCTTGCCATTGGAAAGCAGCAATTGTGTAAGTAGAAGTATTATCCATCCCCATTGGCCTTCTAACCAGAATCCAAAAGATCCACCTGCCCTCACCGATCTCAAATACAGCTCTCAATTCAACCCTGATACCTTCTACTGGATTGTCGACAGTGGTAAGCAGTGGTGCAACCTTGTTCCTGTCCTATTTGCGAAACTACAAGACTGTTAACACACTATCAACAATATGAGACAGCCCCTTTGCCAACAAAACCGAACGCACCGTTTCTTTGTTGTTCTTGGATTACGAAGGATAGCTCTGACATTCTCGTTTCTCGAAAGTTTCTGTTGATTCTGAAATGGAAAAAGATGATAAGAACAGATTTCGAATCTTGAATGATTTATGCAATCAGTTTGATAGAATCTTACTCACGTCGAATCGTATCGTCTCCTGGTCCGATAGCATAATACAGTTTACATTAGACCAAGTATTCGATGGCCTTCGTCAGTCGCAAAAGAACAAGCGCAGTGAGCAAAATGATCCATGATCCACTTCAAAAACAACGAATCAAACGAACATTGATCTTCAATGATGAGACTCACTTTGTTCTTCTTCGTCATTTGCTTGTTTGAATGATAAATGGGACACACCGTTATCCGTTGTTTATATATAACAATGCCCATTCATTTATGCATCCAAACATCACTACGCTATGTTGATACTGTACCTATTCTGAATTCGCATTGAGTGTTTCGTGTTGAATTTGAAATTGTGATAAAAAGTGATTTTGAGAAAAGCCCCACAAACGCTCACTCTGGTAGTAATTGTACCAAAAGGCCGTAGATTTCCGCCTGCCATCCCAATGACATTCCAGTCCGTTGAGTCAAAACGATCAATTCGATCCCAAATTTCGGACCAACAGTTGTTCCCAGAGCCTAGATTCCAGTTGTGTACCAAACGACCTTCTTGTGGTAAGAACTTTTATTATTCCTCCATGCGCTTCTTGTTGAATATATGTAGACTCGACATCGATGCCTTTAAATTTGGAAATATTGGCCTGGAATAGACCAGAAAAGAGAACAAGTCACCTTGACATCTCCAAATCAGTGTCGAGATGCGAGTTTTGGCCGGAAAGACACTACTGTAGTTACCATTTACATTGTTCCCACACGCGTTAGTTGTTATTTATATATTTAGTAGCCATTTGGGTCTCCTGATGCGGTAACAAAGGCCATTTCAAAGGCGAGAAGCGACATAGACTTGTCATGGCAACACAAGCGGTGTGGCAGGAGTTGTCGATCTTGAGTGCTGCACTTAATTTCTGCCCAAGATCTGCAAAATCTTGTCTAAAACCTATCCCCATAGGTATGTGACAAAAGATGATAAGGTCCCGCAATGTCTGAGCACTTGGGTGGTCGTCGACGTCTCATTCAAACAAGATTGCCAATGATGGGACAGGTTCCATTCAACAGCAGCCCAGAGCAAGGTAGCCATGCTTCTAGAATATCAAATCCCAAAGAATCCTTTCAATCCTTTTGTAACATAGCTAATAATTAAAAGAGAAGTGTTAGATCATCCACCGCACTCATAGCTGACCAAGCTGTCCCAAAAGCTTGATGATCGTACCTGTTGTCCCACCTGCCAAGTCAAATATGGGCTCAAGGGCTAATACAGCCAATCTTGAGCATTCGGATTGCATCCAGTTTTGATCTCTAGTAGTACCCAAAGACAAAATTGGTGTATTGTTGGGTGCCGATATCCCACCCGATCGACAGCAGCCACCCAAAACCTTTGGATTCTTCAGCGTCGATAAGCGATGCAAGACTCCAAACTTGGATTCAAGTGTCATCTAAGGTCTAAACATACCGCTAATCGCGTTCCTTTAGTCAAAGTAGATACAGTGGACCTGGCCGTCTTGGTTCTGAACGATTATCTTGCCCTGGCGGGGTCCAACAGCCCCCATTTCGATTTCTTTTGTATGATTTCAGCCACTCAGATCATATATAGTCATCAAAACAACTGTGAAGCCACTTACATTCTTGCCTCCGACCCAGGTATTATTGTTCGATGGTAACATACTTTGGCCGTACTGTAAAAGAATCAAGAAAGTTCCCTTGGCTTGTCAGTCTCTCCACCTGACATTGATTCGGCAGTAGAATTGTCATTCATTCAGATTTTACATAGTCATCCAAACAACTGTGAAGCCACTTACATTCTTGCCTCCGACCCAGGTATTATTGTTTGATGGTAACATACTTTGGCCGTACTGTAAAAGAATCAAGAAAGTTCCCTTGGCTTGTCAGTCTCTCCACCTGACATTGATTCGGCAGTAGAATTGCCATTTATTCAGATCGTACATAGTCATCCAAACAACTGTGAAGCCACTTACATTCTTGCCTCCGACCCAGGTATTATTGTTTGATGGTAACATACTTTGGCCGTACTATAAAAGAATCAAGAAAGTTCCCTTGGCTTGTCAGTCTCTCCACCTGACATTGATTCGGCAGTAGAATTGCCATTTATTCAGATCGTACATAGTCATCCAAACAACTGTGAAGCCACTTACATTCTTGCCTCCGACCCAGGTATTATTGTTTGATGGTAACATACTTTGGCCGTACTATAAAAGAATCAAGAAAGTTCCCTTGGCTTGTCAGTCTCTCCACCTGACATTGATTCGGCAGTAGAATTGCCATTTATTCAGATCGTACATAGTCATCCAAACAACTGTGAAGCCACTTACATTCTTGCCTCCGACCCAGGTATTATTGTTTGATGGTAACATACTTTGGCCGTACTATAAAAGAATCAAGAAAGTTCCCTTGGCTTGTCAGTCTCTCCACCTGACATTGATTCGGCAGTAGAATTGCCATTTATTCAGATCGTACATAGTCATCCAAACAACTGTGAAGCCACTTACATTCTTGCCTCCGACCCAGGTATTATCGTTTGACCGTACTACACTTAGGTGGTACTATAAAAGAATCAAGAAAGTTCCCTCCTCTTGCCATGCTGGGTCGACGCAGTAAACCATTTCGATTTCTTTTGTTTCGTTTCATGACCTCTGTTGACCGAAAATGCAACATCCAAGGAGGCAAACAAGAGAGTGAGTCGCGTTCCAATAGTGATGATCGATATATTTGGGCCTACCGCGACTTGCTATGTCATCGTTTGAGCACACAGTAGGTTCCACTGTCACACAATATATGCTTCTCATTTGAATCGGGAAAATTCCTACAAGTCTTCACTTAAGGTTGGTTCTGGTTAGTGTATGCATGCCCCATTGCCAAACGAAGGACTTGATTGCCACAGAATAGTCATAGATACAATTTTCCGCAGCGCATTGCCATCCATCCATTCTTGATGCAGCATCACTAGTCGAATATCCTTGAAACCAAACGGTCAATATAGCTAGTAGCGCTACCTGACAAGTGCAACTCCAAAATCCACGTTGTTGGCCAGCGACTGAGCCAAGATTGACACATTCGTTGCCAAAGGACAGTCCAAAGCACTAAAATATATAACGTACAGTTAGAAGGAATGTCACTTTTCTTGCACATTTTGGACCAGAAATTGCTCCGACTTACTGATTTGAATAATGGATCTTGCTGTTCTGTCTTCCGTGATTTGTTCCCCCTCAATTCTTTCATGCAGGTCCAAGACTTCATCAACGGCCGATCGATTCGAAAAATAAGGGTTTATTGTTGCCTTCTGTTGGCTTCTGTTGCTGATGGCCTTGGGAAACGACAACATTGGGATGCTCATGAAAATTGAACTTGAAAAAGTTTCTTGATTGGGCGCCGATTTCAGGAATTGCAAAGAAGTAAGTGCAATATCAGAATCAGAGTCATCAGATGACTGCTCTGTTGACGTGGCGTCCATGGTTGGTGGTCAATTGGACTGTTTCGGAGAAGACCAACAGCAGCAGCGGCAGAGCATGAGATGGGTTTTGTTGGCAGTTGAAAAGTTTCGGAAACCCCCCTCTATGGAAGTCAGACTAGCGAGGAACTTGAGTTCGATAGAGGGGAGTTTCCGAAACTTCTTTCCACGGCATTCCAGTACTGTATTTGCGCGTTCATTGCGATGACGTGAAGTGAAGAATAGGAGTATGATTTGTGATTGGACGAAAATAAATTTCGCGCAATTTTTGTGAGAGTTTCGGAGAATGGAAGAGATGGGGGTCAGAAGCTCCATAAATGTTAATTTTTCCAAATGTTCACTTATGAGAGAACGTTTTTTGCATGACCAAAAAATTATATTTTTAGCCAATTTTAAGGACATGAAAAGGACCGTCCCTGTTTTCGGGCAAAAAAGGGTAAGATAACTGACCGTGTAGTGACGTACGGTGGATCGGAAAGTTAGTATCATTATGAACGTCCAGTGGTTGTTTACTATTGGCCTTCTGCTAGTATCAGTCCAAACAAACGCGTTTACCTTGATCACGTTTGATGTGGATGGCACTTTGGTGAAAGGATCAGGTCAGGCAGCAGCAGAATCGGCGCATGCCAAAGCTTTCTCCCATGCAGTTGGCACCATATTGGGCGATGGGAAATCGGTGATGCCCGTAGCGAAAGCCTTGCCAGGCAGTAAGTAAATATTGGACTTGACGATGTACTTCACCGGCCTTTTGCTTTTGCTCTTGCTCATACTGTGGTTATTGGTGCTGACGATGCTTTAAGATTTGTATCATGGTAGCACGGATGGTTTGATATCTCTTCGATTGGCCAAGGCAACGCTTGGAATAGACACGGATGTATCCTATCCGAAACTGGACCAAATCTTCCAATGCATGTTTGAGTACATGTCTGCTTGCTCCGACAAAGAAGTCGCCAACCTCATTTCCCCGCTTCCAGGAGTGCTCGATCAGTTGAAGACACTATCCCAAATGAACGATAAGGTCATGTGCGGGCTGGTAACTGGAAATGTGGAGGGGATTGCCCGCCTAAAGATGAGGGCCGTTGGAGTTTGGGATACACAAGCCCTAAGCCCCCCCAGTCCAATGCAAAAAACGTGGCCTGGTACCGAAAATATTGCATTTTTGGGTGGCTTTGGATCCGACTTCTGTAGCGGGAATATTGACGATATTGCGCGAAATCACTTGGACAGAGGAGAGCAGATTGCTATTGCAACCGAAAGATGCCGATATTTGCTCAAGGATGAACCAATAAAACAATTGGAAAGAGTTGTACACGTGGGAGATGCTCCAGCTGACGTATTGGCTGCCAAGGCATTTAGCGAAACACTGGAAGGAGGTGAGGAGAATCTTTGCGTTGGTATGGTTGCCGTAGCGACTGGGTCCTACTCGGCAGAAGAATTAAGAGGGCAGGCAGGAGAGACTATCCCTGGGAAATGGGAGCCCGTGGTACTAGAAGATGGAATGAATGATCCAAAATTTCTGGCTGCTTGTGGAGTGAGTCAATGATTGATTCAGTCAATCATTCATCGTGGTGTGGGAGGGTGACAAGTTGTTGCGATTTTGTCCGCATCATGATGATCAACATGGATGCCTGAACGATACTATGGACAATGGACAGTGGCTTAGTATCAGATCAGAGACAATTCATTATTCTACCCCCCTTTAAGGGTTCACAAACAGAGCAGACAGGATGGGCATGGTGCATGGAAGGTCTGGAGGTAAAGGAATTCGGTAGCCCACTCAAGGGTTACAACAGAATCGACTTTTGTAGTGAGATGAGCATCCGAGTAACTTGAGCTGAGCATACTGTAGAGCATCATTTTCTTTAGATCCCAACGGCGGTACAAGGCACAGTACCTGGTACAATACCTGGCGCAGCTAGCCTGGTCGTACTATGTTTGTTGGTCTTAGTGAGACACTGATGCGACAAAAATATGTCGCACGGTACGAAAGTCACAGTCATCCCCAACATGCAAAAAATCTAAGCACCTACTGGAACACGCGAGGAGTTAGTGTTTTTCGCGTTTTTTGCGTGCGTTGAAACTTTGGAAAAACAATTGATGTCGGTGTGACATGCAGACACCAACTTTTCTCCGATAAAATACCCGATCACTTCGGAGACGCGAAAAATGCTGATTTCATTTCAAAGACGCACATCCGGGTTCAAGCACGCAAATCGGGATTTCAAAGACGCACATCCGGGTTCAAGCACGCACATCCGGGTTCAAGCACGCACATCCGGGTTCAAGCACGCACATCCGGGTTCATTCAACATTCAAAGACGCATATCCGGGTTCAAGGACGCATCAAAAACTCAGCATCCCCCTCAAGGGGTACTTCCAGGACTCGACACATCATTCTGCATCGCTGAAATCGGTGGTCACTCCAGTCAAAATCAACAATTGGACACGACTGGACGCATTGGATGCAATTCTCCAATCGATCACAAAACTTCAGAAGACGAAGAGAAAAAAGCATCATGACAAAAGGACAAGAGCTCCCAACTGATCTAACTTCCGAGATCCAGCGCATGATGGTCAAGGACATGCATGACTTTAGGATTACAAAAGTGATTTGTTATGATCCTGTCACCTATGAGTCAAGGGACTTCTGGGAATCGCGCAAGGAGTATAAGGCATTCAGCTTCCCTGTATTCTTGGCAAACGTTGAAAATGTGGCAAGAAATGTCAGGTCTCATCTGAGGAAATCCGAGGAAGCCAGCGCAAAGAGAGCTGCAAAGGAATCGAAAAAGAAAAGGAAAGAAGAAGAAAAGAAAACAAAAGAGAAGGGTGGGGCTGACGAGAAGGCCACAGATACGCTGGAAGAGATGATGCAAGGTCTTGTCTTTGAGCAACCCACACAAAAACTTACTGACACGTTCGTTGAGGCATACCCATGTGGCGATCGTGTGCTAGTTGTGGTTGAGTTATTCGGAGACGTGAAGGCAGAGGAAGCAAACGCCTTTGATTTTTCTCCGGCAGGAGACAAGATTGTTCATTGGACCCGCACTCCTTCTGTGTGGACAGACGAACAAAAGCTTATTGGGGCTTTGGGCTCGACAATTGCCGATGCGGATACAATAATCCTTGGGAACGCAATAAAGAAACGGTTGAAGGACTCGCCCAAACCGAGCAAAGATGGCTTTTTGTGGATCCCAATGGAGATCATCAATCTCCCATTCTGTTGCGAACCCATGCTTTTCGACAAAAGTGGTCAGTCAATCGACTCTTATCTTGCTCAAGGCAATGAAAAGGGATTTAGATGGGGTTATTTTTGGCTTGTTCGCGAGGGTTGTAATCCTGAGTCAGCAAAGAAGTTGGTCTTTACTTGTCATGATGAAGAAGAAGACGACAATGATGAGGCATCACATTGCCTGACTGGCAATTATGATGCCGATGACATTTCGGAGGCTACAGAAGCATGCGCTGAGGAAGAACAGATGGACAAGGATGGCGACGAAAGTGTCGACGAAAGTGTCATGATGGATTGTGAACAATCAACAAAAGGCAGCAATTCTCCAGCTGAAGAAGGTCGTAGTGACTTGAGTGTGATGAGAGGCATGTGGAGTAAAGAAATAGATCTCAGGGAGAAAGCAGAACAGAAGAGAAAGGCCGCATTGGATGCCCAGCATATGGCAGAAGATAGAGCCAAGACTGCCAACGAAAAGGCAAAAACTGCAAAAGAGGCGGCTCGAAAGACCAAAGAAGATGCTCAGAAGGCCGTCAAGGAGGCCGACGAAAGAGCTACGAGAGCCGCAGCAGCCGAAAAAGAACGTTTTCAGCAGGCGGCAGAAGAGGAAAAGCAACGAATCCAAAGCGAAGCTCGTCAGCGTTTTGAGAAGGAGGCAGCACTGGAAAAACAGCGAATCCATGAAGAAGCTCGTCAACACCTTGAGCAGGTCGCAGCAGAGGAAAAACAGCGACTCGAAGAAGATGCTCGGCGACGTTTTGAGAAGGCCGCAGCAGAAGAAAAACAACGGCTCCAAGAAGAAGCTCGACAACGTTTTGAGAAGGCCACAGCAGAAGAAAAACAACGACTCCATAAAGAAGCTCACTTGGAAAAGGAAGAGTTACGCACAGAAGCAGACCAAGCAAAAGAGAGAGAATCAGAACAAAGGGATGAATATCAATCAGCAATTGCGCCCCGCCGCAGCGGACAGAAAAGTCGCCTGTCAATTGATTCATATGTTTCTGTGGATGCAGAACGTCCAGCAAAGCGGATGAGAGTCGTAGATCCGAAAGCAACACGGAAATCAATGAGACGAATTTTGAAAGCCAAACGGTCGGCATCGAATGAAGTGGACCAATACATCGAAGCAAATCCTGCACAAGAACAGGAAGGCAACAATTAGTACTAGATTTACAGTTCTTTATATATTTGGATCAATTTGTTTACGATATATTTCTTCTTTCTCCTAGTATTGTACAGGTATGTATATGTAGTCCAAGCCAACAGTTCACGCAAGAGTATACTATCAAAGGGTTATTATTCGCTGTTTAGTCATAGGTGACTTCATATTTAACCGGGTACAATCTCGCTCCATTCTCAAAGGAAAGTTGCACAATGACGGCCACAGCACGAGCTATCTTTCCATGTTTCTCGGTATTTGTGCTTTCCCATCTTTCCATTACTTTGAAAATTTTCAAGCGCCTGTTGACATTTTCATGTCGTCCCCTAGCCACCGATTTTTGTTTCCTGGTGATGCTATCCTTTCCTACAGCATTAGTCTTGATCTGAATTCTACCGGAGTACCCATTATCTGCCTCGACGCATTCACCAGGCATGAGCATGAGGGAAAGATTAGCGTCAAAGATTTCCCTGTCACTCAAGTTTGCCGGAAAGGGACCGTTGATGGCCACAATGTCTCCTGTCTGAATGCATTGTGCAATTTCGTATCGCATTGCAGCACGATTGTGCTTATGACTCCACCATATCCTTGATCTTGGCGATGGCTCCCACATCCAAACATCTGTGCCATCGACTGTGACCAGTGCGATGCACTTCCCATCCCAGTCATTGAAACGATTCGCCCAAACTATAACGACTTCTTCCAGATCAGCGATCCCATCTGTGAACTTTGAGACCCAATCGCGAAACGTGTCACATGACTTGCAATTAGCGATCTTAATCATCATTTCTTCGCTAATATTTACCTTATAGTATATCAGCGTCCACAGCAAATGCTTTGGCTGTGCTCGACGCGATATCTTTTTCTTTGGCTCGAGCTTGGACCACAATTCGGAGCAAACCTCGAAGCTTGTACCAAATGCAGCCCGGAACACTCGTTTCTCTCTTTCTCGAGAATATTGTTTGCTCCCGATTGGCAACTCGAGCATCTCGCGAGCTACCTTTTCAAATGCTAGTCTGGATACCAGCATCTTCTCGTTTTTGTGGCGATTACGAGATGCTTGAATAATAATATTTGGCGATAATCTCCAAAAGCCGTTATAAAAATGTGCTTCAAGTATTAAAATATTATTATATTTTATTAATATTACGGTATAAATTTTTTTGTATCTTTGGGGTGCGTGTACCTATTACATCACAGTTGCATCAATTCTTATGTTTCATAGACGGAGAAGAGTTCAGTTGCTGTGTGTGTAATTTTCAACTATTGACTTCTATATCTTCATGCTCATTTCTGAATGTTTTCATTAGTTCTTCTTGCTTCGCATGGTGTGCTTTGTGGTCGCTGTCTTCTTCTTGGTGGTCTTCTTTTCAACTTGCACATGTTTCATAGGAACATCGTTCGAGCGTACTGTTTGATACGAATAAAGGGATTCGTCATCTGCAGTAGGAGAGAAAACTCGAGTTCCTCCAAACCTTCTACTTTCACTGGCGCCTGCAGCCTTCGCAGCATGCTTTCCCACAAGCCAAAAGGAAGCCCAGCGAAATCCGTTCGTGTTCTTTCTTACCTTGAAAGTCTTCATTGGCTTACCCTCTTTGCTAACCATGGTTGGCATGCAGGCAAAAGGGAGATCAATCACATCCCTGTGTTCCCAAATCTGACCATCCTTGTCCCGTTTGCAATTTTCCATCCGTTTTTTAATTGCAGATTCCAGAACGATGACATCAATGTCACTGGAACCAAACCCAGCCATCACTCCCTCTCGATCATCCTCATCGGCCCCCTTGAGCAATATGTTGGCGCTGCTGCATTCCTTTGGAACTCGTCTCATGCGTCATTTGAAAGCTTGAACTGGTTGGATGTCCTATCTTCAACGTCTCCGTCTAGACAGCAGACAACCCCCAATTTGTTTCCGGTTGGATACTGCAAGAGATAATGTTGTCTCATTTGCCCGACTTCAAATCCAAGAATACGACCATCGACATCCTCTTTAGCAGCTTGACAAGTAAGATCAATCGGTTTGCTACTACTTGTCTTGCGGGAGGTACTTGCAGCATTGGCGGAGGACGAACGAGCCGCTTTGTTTTCCCCTTCATCATCATCATCATCATCATCACTATCTTCTTGTGCTCCTTCGTCCTCAATGAAACTACTTGGCAATAAGCCAACTGCATCGGCTGCAACTTTTTTTGCCAGGCTTCGGAAAGCATGTCTTGAGGCCATTTTTTTCTCATACATTGTTTTTGACTTCATATGCTCCACGCCCCCAATGTTTGGTCCGAAAGGTTTCCAACCCGTTTGCTTGAAGTTCATGAAGTCATGTAGGAGTTCTTTGTAGACTTCAGACGACTTTCCGTGTTTCTCAGGCATGATTGGAATTTTTTACTCCAAAGATCATAGGTACACTCGTCGAGAAAATATCGCTAAGAAATCATTTTGCCAGACTTGAAAACCGAAAAGTGTCACAAACGGATTTCAGCGATTTTTGTGGCAAGGCTTGCGCGTTGGATGTTCAATCTCTTCACCTCGCTGCACCCACTTTCAGTTCAAGGACGCACATCCGGGTTCAAGGACGCACATCCGGGTTCAAGGACGCACATCCGGGTTCAAGGACGCAAATCAAAGACGCAACACATTTTGCGTTGTCAAATCAAGGACGCACATCCGGGTTTTTGCTCCTCTCCAATATTCGGCCTCTATTTAATTTAGAACGACCATAAAAACTATTTCTGTATAGTTCAATTTCTTCTAAATATTCAACGCGGGCAAAACACGCCAAAAACACCAACTCCTCGCGTGTTCCTGCATCGATAGGTACCTGGTACGAGTACCTCCGAGTAGTCCAAACCTTCTGTATTGTGTTCGTTTCTCGTCTTCTCTTGCTTATCGGTACAACTCAAGAAACCAAATACAATGGCACACCAACAAGGACAGCCACCTTACAACTCCCAGCCCGAGGCGACGAGTCTGGTAGCTTACGAGGAACCTCCTGAACCTCAACCCGACTACTATTATGATGAACCCGACTACGATTACACTGGACGAACAGGAGTCCGTGGAGAGGAAAACGAAGTCGACTACAGCATTTACGCCACTCGAAAGTCAAACTCCGTCAAGTACCGCAATCCTGACCGAGATCGCTGTCGCAAGATATTGTTTGGAATCTGTCTTCTTTGTTGTTGTTGTTTGATAATTGGGGCTTTGATTGCTGGAATCGTTTTGGTTCTCAAAGATCAAAACGAAGCGGATATTGGATCCACCTTTGCTCCAAGTGCATCGCAAAGTCCGTCCTTTAATCCAGTCAATCCACCGACGTTTCCGCCCACCATTGACACTCGACCAACTGGTTCACCCCGCCCAACAATTACGTACAAGCCTTCTGAGATTCCCTCCACCAATCCTACTACTTCCTCTCCGACTTCCTCTTCTCAACCTTCTGCGGATTCCGAATTATTGTCAGTTTTGGGCGAGGAAGATGACGGCGACGATGTGAACGCTTTGGCACAATTTGGTGCTCAACACTCCTTCACTGTCAATGAACAAGGTGTCTATGAATTTGTATTGGAATTCCAACACAACGAAAACCTACCCATGGGACCGGACAACTACGAGGGAAGTTGTCAAACTTTTGAAAGCACCAAAATCCACGACCTTGATGGACGTGACTTTCGAGAACCCCGCAAGTTTTTTAAGCGTCTTCCCGATTATATTTGGAATTCCACCGGTTTTCAGCACATCAGTCTAGATTGGCATCCATGTGGGGCCTATCCACGTAATTATGCGCATCCACACTATGATATTTCATTTTTCAGGGTCAGACCGGAAGATCGAGTGGTCTACCTCGCTTGCAAAGAGCAGAGTAACGTTCAAATGCCTGGCATTGTCCGAGCTTGTGAGTTCACACAGACATCCGATCACGCCAAGGAGTTCTACATTTTGCCATCTTCAGTTGTGGATCGTTCCAGAGTGCCCAACATGCCGGCTGCCTTTGAACAGGCCGAATTCTATGCTCCCGTGCCGTACGTGGGCATGCAATATTACGACGTGGAGAATCAACCGTCATCTCCAGGATCTTGGAATAGCTTGGACATGGGGATGAGTACTCACGGCGGTGACATTATGAGTTGGAAGGCCAAGGTTCCTTACCGTATCATCAGCGGGGAAAATCCACAGTTTCACTCCAAGACTCAAGAGTACTACCAGCCTACCATTTCTTCCCTTCCCGATGCCTTTTCGGTCTACTACCAACAAGATGGAACCATTCGATTCCAAATGACCGGGCTCTCCCAAATCACCAAGGCCGAATTGGATGTACTCAAACTTGAGAACCCAGACGATGTGCCATCGTCCCCCGTTCCTCTTCCCAGCCCACCCGAGTGCACTTGTTTTGCTCCGGATCCATCTCCTTCGCCATCGGCGTTCCCTTCGTCCGTTCCTTCCGACTCACCCACCATTCCAAGATTTGACTTTTGTACCTTGCTGACGGGAAACGAACCCAGCACCAATGTGGACATCAGTTGCTTCTCCACTGAGTACGAATGCAACCAAAAAACAGTCAGAGATTGTCAAGTATTATGTGGACCATCGCAATGCATGTCCTCTGAGTTTGACCAGTCTTATGTTTTGTGCATCGATGAGACATCTTGCAACAAGATCGCCAGCACCAAACCAGTCGCCCAATTCATCAACTCTCAAGTGCTCTGCCAAGTGGAAGGTTCCTGTACCGATGCGGAATTCTTGGCTTGCACTTGCTGCGATGGACCGGGTTGTCCATCCGAAAACTTTGTTGGTAATTCCCTCCCTAGTTGTGTGGATGGCGATGTCGGGGGTTTTTGCAATCAAATGGTGGAATCAGAGGGAAAGACTTGTAGAGAACTGGGGAATCCTGTGTGCACTAATTTGTAAAAGCGTACTAATAAGAGAGCTACCATTCTATTTCGTTTTCCGGATTCAATTTTGTGAATGAAAAGAAGGCATTGAATAGCTCTAATAAATTAAAACAATCTCGTTGTCCCATTGATGATCATGGGATGCTGGAATAGCCTTTGTAACACATCAAGTGTCTCGTTGATTAAAAGGTAGAGCGCGAGGACCGAGAGCCAACGCCCACTTTGAAAAATTCCCTTGTTTCCAGAATGCATAATTCATCCGACATCCCCAACCCAACGCATCAAGAACAAAATGAACCAACCTTTGACCTCATACGACGCTTCACAAGAGCCATTTGGTGAATTCATCTCCTCTTGCCTAATTTGGATGGACGGTTATCACGTTTTGCCACTGCGCTATCTGATATTCTTCCGAGACCCCAAGGGTCAACTGGATCCGAAACCTATTTTCGACAAGTCGAAAGATAGGATCCATATGGAATACTGGACTAAAGAAACGGACTTTCATGACAGAAGGTACAGTAACCACCGACAATACATGGACATGATGGATGCGAGCAAGAGATTTCTCTCTGGGCAGACGATGTTTTACCACGCCCGTTTGGCACAGTCGAAACAACAGAATCGTACATGGACAGTTGTCATTGACGCGGACGAAAATTTGTCTCTGGACTCGACTAATGTACCAAATGTTACGGACAGACTTCTAGCACCTGGTGCTGGGTTGAACTTGATCAAGCGTGTCCATGCCAGAGATCCATCCACTGGAATCACGAACAAGACCCCCAAGAAGTGGTTTCTTATATGCACTTTAGTAGGTCGAAGAGAATACGCTTCCTTTGAAAGTCCATCGAGATTGGTGCTCAAGGACGCACCCTTATTCATCACTATTGCCTGATCACTCTTCGATTTCGACATGTGCGACGTGGAGTGACATGACCAAACTGAGATGGTCGGCCGTTTCCATTCATAAGCTCTCTCGGACTTGTTTTGGTGTTTGGGAAAATCGGCGGGACCTCAAGTATACCGGGTACAGCAAGTAAGTAACCAACAATGGCTCGCAGTAAGTTTTCGGACGATGTCTCCGTCTCGTCAGCGAGATCCAAGAAATCAAAGAAATCAAAGAAGAAACGCGTCAAGGAAACAGAGACTCCAACCCTAGAGCTTGGAAAACCGATTGAACAATGATGTGGACGAAGAGTTCTTTCAGGATCCCCGACGTTTTCAAACCCTCCATCGCGTGATTGACGTATTAGGAATGCAAATGGGCAACGACGACATTGGTATTCAGCAGAAATCAGACTATAACCAAAAGAACCGGGCCTACAAGCAACTCAAGGAGCAACAGCAAGTGGTTGAGGATGCCATTGAGCATTTGGCTCTGATGCATTGTCAAGATTTAAACGGATCTGTGGTGCAAGTGGGACGGGTAGCACGCCAATTCGATGACGCTGTCTCGCAAGTCCGCCATTTGCGCAAGCAAGTCAAGGAAATTCAAGAAACTCTGGGTGCCGGAAATGCACCTTCTTCCAAAGAACAAGCAAATGCCAGTGCGGCGGCCGCTTCCGCAATGTCCTTGCGCGAACTGTGGATGAAAAAGTTAGAGGCTGAAGCTGTCTTGGCGCTTTTGGATAAGCTTGATCGCATTCGAGCGGCGCCCTTGCAGTTCGATGCCTATCTTCAGCAACACCGGATTGGAGCTGCTACCATTGTGGTGGCGCAGGCTTTGGACACTATGTTTTCCAGTGATGTCAGTCAGGTTCAGGCCTTGCACAAAATTATGGAACAGCTCATGATGCGAAAGCAAAAGGCAGAAGAGGTCGTTTGGGAATTGCTAATGGACGTCGTTTTCTTGAGGACGGGTAATGGAAAAGCAGAACTCCTTTCTTTTGGAGCTGGCCGCAAAGCACTGGAGAACGAGCTCGGTAAAGATGGAGACATCAGGAGAACATCAGCAAAACCAGTGGATTTGTTTAATCATTCCAATCATGGAATGGTCAATCCTTTCTTGGGCTATAGCATGAGATTTGCTCTTGACTATGATTTGCAAATGGAATCCCTCCAAAATCCTCTTTATTTACAAGAGATCAACGACGATGCAATCGTAGAAGAAGATTTCTATGACGACGAGGAAGATGGCTCTGTCAAAAAAGCATCCAGATTTGTTATTCCGCAGCCTGCAATGGAGGCCGAATTTGAATTGGAGTCGGAAGAGCGCCGTTCCATTGACGAGCTCAAATATCACGGAGGCGCTGACACCAAAGCACTAAGTCGACCAAGATATATGGACCACATACTTGCCTTGCGTACACTAGTGGAATGTTTGGTCCGACTTCGCCGTCTGGACGATGTCGAGCGGAATATTACCGAGGTCGTCGAAAGGGAACTGACGGCCTTGATTCATCGAGAACAGACAAGAACTTTCTTGAGAGTAGAAGGTAGCACAACACACAATTTGCAGCGAAGGGGGAGGTATGCCATGCTAATGAGTAAGGCTGGAGCAACCACCGATTTGAGAGACTTCCGAAAGCACATGGCAAGCATCGTCTCTGCCTTTGGAAATGTTCAAGTGCGGTTGACACATCTTTCACAGATAATTCGTCACCGAATTGTAAGTAATAGTATCGGTTCGGAGATATCGGTTCGGAGATGCAGTACTCTGTTTTCTATTCTAACAAAGTGTTTGGTTGCTGCGAAATACAGAAAGCTGGAAATGCATATTCCAGTTCAAGTGACTCATCCATTGTAATGGCAGGTGTCCTTCAACATGCAAAAGGTGTCATGGAACGGCAATTGAAGATGTTTCACAATGCATGTCTTACAGAAGTTGCCGACAGTCCTGAGGATAGTAAATTTAGCATGTCGAGCGGTCAGTCTCGCCGAAAATCAACGGTACAAGCCAAAGGAAAGAACAATCGCAGCTCAGAGGTTGGTATCGTCCGAATGGGTATCATTGATGATGAAGAGGAGGGAACAGAGGACACTAGTACGTGGTTGGCACCAACGACCTCTTCTCGTCTCATGAACAACCAAAATCTATCCATCCCCAAATTCATCAAGGACGTTCTATTTGCAAAGACCACTCAGAACGGAACACCACAGATTAGACACGCTCTCTTTTTCCGAAAGGCTCTTGCCAAGTGGCACAGGGATAATGCGTTACTACGAAAGGAGCTCGCAGATAGCACTCGTGAAGACACTTCGTCACCAAGCTATTCAACACCGGTGGAACTACCTGCCTTGGAGTATCTGGATAACGTAATTCAGAAGGCAGTGCTGCCAGTTCTCCAAGAAGAAGCTGTCAATGGAACGGTGCAAGCACTAGAACGACCGGATGCCTTTGATCCAGTTTTGGATCGGAATGTGTATGCAAGGGCTGATTCCAACGAACCACAAGATGTGGACATGTGTGTGGCTTGTACAGCTCTGTACAACTTTACTGGACCGCTCTTTCTGGCACTTCATCGACTACCAAAGGGTGGAGATATGTACTTGCCGCTGGTTGCTGTCTTGGAGCACGTCATTTTGACTTTTATTTCACGTGTAAAACAGCAAGTCACCAGAATTTGTTCCAACCAAACAGCGCTTCAACTTTTGATGGATAGTTCCTCCCAATATAGAGAAGATAGTGCACCAAAGTCCTTCGGCCAAGCTATGGAACGCAGAAAAGCGTTTGCTCAGCTTGTGCTGGCTTATGCTGATGGCGATCTGCTTGAAGCTATGAGTGACGATCGGTCACCAGGAGATCTTTCTGGAGTATCTGCCATTCCTCCTCCTATTGGAGATACGCCTAGGGTAGTTTCGGATCCAAGAGCGGCCGTCTTGGCCGATTACGGCGAACTCGACTTTGTAGGCGGCGTGGATCGTGAGGAAGTGAACTTGAGCATTGAGTTGCAATTTTTAAAGCCTTATCTCGAGTTTGCAGGAATGGAAGAGAATAACACAGTCAAGACCTGTCGAGACGAGGACCTGATGAAAGCAGCATGCCTGGCGCATTCGTTGTTGAAATTGTCAAGTTTGTTGGACAGCAGACTCAAGATGAGAAGCCAGTTTGGAGTCACTACGAAAACATTAGCAAATACACGAGCATTGCGTGAAGCCATCAAGACAATCCGCTCAAATGGGCTAAAAATGGCAAAGTTTTGCAGGTCAGACGTGCTGCTTCAGTCGATTGTTCGCCTCGCTAAGGTTTGCAATTCATCCACCATCGTGGCCCGTGATGCTGTCAGAATTCCGTCATCGGTAAATGATCTCGGTGAATACATGACTGCAGCTTCAGATAATTTGAGGGAGGCTGCTGGTAACGCTGTGACAGCCTACACCTTTTCTACACTGGAGCAATACATTCCGTTGTGCCTGATTCAAACAGTGCGTGTTTTGGCTGCTGGTCAGGGCATTGTAACAAAGGCACCTTTGACAATGAATGGTGTTGAAGCGCTGGACCGCTCTGGATCTGTATTATATCGCGATTTGAAAGGAGCTACATCTTTTGACAACTCGTTTTGGGATATTGAATTGGCTGCTGTATCCTTTGAGCGAAGTGCCACATTTTTTGGTATGATGGAGCTTGAAATGGGGGAACTAGAAGCTTACTACCAGGACAATCGCAACGACTTCTCTGAACAAGACTTCCAACTCATGTTTACTATGGATGGGCCTAAGCGAAAAGGAGATGTCAACCGTTACCACACACTTTTCAAGAAGATGGAACGGAAATAAGCTGTGGTGACAATGTAGATGTATCTTCTAGTGCGCCGAATTCTTTACGAATGTAACTTGTATAGCGATGTATTCACCATTTTACAATTCTAGCTGACTTGTTTTAAAACTTGACTCATGGATTGACCCCACCAAAACAATAATCGACCTAAGAAACTTTCCTCTCCCTTTCATTCCTTCTGCGCATGGCTACGCGGAGTCTCCCCTCAGAATCACCGGAGGCCTGCTGTAGACACCAATTTTCCATCATTCGGAGTGAATCCTCGATATCGGGAAAGATATCATCAAACCTGTCCATGTATTTTCCAATATACCGCTCTATTGGAGGAGATGAGAATGACTTGACAAATATATACAAAAACGTTGCCAATGCCACAAACCATGCCCATAGTGTTCCAATAGCATCGCAATGCCGCTGCTCTTGCAATCTCCACAAAGACTCTTCGCCTTTCAATGCTGCTGCAACGGTGCTATGCATCTCTGCTGTTGAGTTCCAAGGCTGAGATCGACGATGCGTCTCCACAGTCTTTTTTATCAAGAACGTGACATGTGACAAGCCATCAAGCTGAAGCCAGTCTCTTTGTCGAGAAGCAGTTTCGTGCATACCAATATCAATATCGTAATTGCGTTCGCCCCCCGAGTTTTTTTGAAGATAATCCTGCACCAAGACTTTTGGTATTTCATTTGGGTCCATCATCCCAGTCTCATTGAAGAGTATTGGAAGCAACCCAGACGTTTCCTCGTCTTGGGAGAAGCAAAAGACAGAGACCCCTAGAATGGCTGCAACCACAGAATCAGAATCACAGTGTCCAAGAACCATGACGGTATCAGGATGGCGAGAAAGACTATCCAAAAGATTGACAGAACTCTCTCGAGTGAAATCATCGTCGGCAGCAGAAAAGGAGACGCTCTCGTCACCAAAGTCCAACCACACAATCGCAAATGACGGGCGCTTGTTGCGAATAAGCATTTGTTGACTCAAAATGAGACTCTGTAGTACCGTGCTAGTTGTCTCGAGCGTCGAGTATTCGGGAGGCAAAGATACCATAATGGTTGGATTTGTTTGGGTCAGTCTCCACCCAGTTGCTTGCTTGTATGTAGATATGCAAGGAACACACAGTGGCTGTATTGCTCCAGTGACGTGAATGATGTTCCAATAATCTTGATGCTGGACCTTGTCAACGTACTCGTCAGGAAGAAATTGAATAATTAGTGCCACCACAGGCAAAAAGTAATCAGATGGTCGCTTCAATGGATCTAGGCCGACTTTTCTACGTTTGGAGTTGAGAGCCATTAATGGTTTGGTCAACATCAAACTCTGCCATCTCTGGCGGATGGTCAAGTAGATTCCTTCCAATAAGTGATCCCAAGTTGCGGGTGCTTCCCATTCGGAGTGATGATCTACTGCAAGTTCCAAGGACGATGCTGCCCCAATGGTAATGACTGGGATTTGGAACTTATCGGCCATTAACATGCCAGCTACATTGTACACATCCATGATGAGTACATCAGCACGAAACTTTGTGTCGGGGTGGTTCTGTGAAACTGTAGGGTCGTATCCCATGGTCATAACTAGTAGATCCATCATTTGATACGCGCGCTTGATCATATTCCGATCTAAAGGTTTCCGAGTACACGTGCCTGCTGCATCGATTGCGCTGATGACGTTCAAGGAACTCTTGAGTTTGGCATCTGGTTTGCATGGAATCTGTGTCAGAACCTTACTCTGAATGTAATCAACCCTGTAGTCTGAGCCAGGTCTGAGGAAATCATAACAGTGATTTGGAAACCCTGAATTAACAGACTAGCCGCCAGCGCCAAGAATTCATCGTCTCTTGAATCCGGGAGAAGAAGTATCGCAAGATGAAATGGGGGCTCAATCGACGTCACATCGACTGCATTTTGTGAGAGCTTGGAACATGCCATGAAAGAACTCTCGCAAACGGTCCCATCTTGTAGAGTCTTTAGTAAAGAAGGCATATAGATATTTTTGGCCACAGGGTATTCACCAATGAACTTGTTGATACATCGTCGGTATGCTTTTGGTTCTGCCGACAAGACTCCTCCAATGAAACCAACAAGAATTGCTACTGGTCGTTTCATCATCACACTTTTAAAAAAAATGTTCCTTGGATGCCTTTATAAAACAGCGGAATTATTGTGATGATGTTCGTTTGATCCTTTAGTCTCTTGTGCTAGTTACAGTACTGGTATTTCCATGCTTTCAGAGTTGCAAGACAGAGAATAAATCTAATGTGAAATGTGGAGTTGCAACGCAGGGCTCATTCTCCATTTCTATTTTGTTTTTTTGAACGGGGACTGAGAAAGCCAAAACGTTTTTTAACGGTCTCAACATTCAAAAAAATTATATCCGAATTATCTTCACAGTGAAGATGACAGGTTCTATGCTCAAGAGGACCGTTGTAGTCTCTCTTGCGGCTTTGATTCTTGTCGCATTGAGGCGACAGGCACTTCTCTTGGATAGAAGCCTTCCACAATGGACAGGCGACAACGTTGACGCTGAAGGTCACCATCTTTCGCAGTCTTCTGTTTCATCACTTTTTCGGCAGACAACAAGTGCAGAACCGGCAAGAAGAAAGTGGGCTTACGCTTTCGTAGTAGGGGGATGCAGCAAACATAAGCCAGAGTATCGGGGATTTATATGGAATATAGCCGTCGCAGCTCAAGTGTTACAAGAAACTGGATCCCAAGCAGATGTTGTCGCTTTGATCCAAATGTCTGCCAGAACCAACGAGACTGCCCTTCCGGAGGATGAATCGAAACTTCTCGAGGCTCTGAACGTAAAGATTGAATACATTCCAAAGTTCTCTTCGATGGTTCATGAAGTATTTTACACTTTGATGCTGGAAAAGTTTCGAATCCTTCAAATGACACAATACAGTCGAGTAATATTCATGGACGGTGATGTCATGCCGTTATGTTCCTTGGATTACCTCTTTGAGTTGTCGGAGCCAGAGTCTGGGGAGCCACTTTTAAAGGACAATATTGTGATATCGTATTCCAACCAACCCGCGCATGGTGGCTTCTTCATGCTACACCCTCAAGAAAGCGACTATGAGGAAATCCAAAAGATCATAAAGACAACAGAAGAAAAAGCCTTATCTCTGCCTCCGTTTGAGCATTGGGACGAAGTTGAAGGCTGGGGCCATATTATTGAGCCCCCAGATCGATGGATGTCCTCAATGTCAAAGTTTACCTCCACAAATTGGTCCTGGCATGGTGTGCACGCGGATCAAGGTTTGCTCTATCACTGGTCAGTTCCTCATATTGTTTGGAACCTTTCCATGCCCATTTTTTCATCTCACGCCTTGCTCCTATTTCGATTTCACTCATTAGGACAAAATATGTCAAGCAGAGTGTCTCACTCATCATCAACTACCAGGTGCAAAACTGGGGTAGCGAAAACGGCACAGCAGTAATGGAAAAAGCGTTTATAAACTACCGTCCAAGCGATCCTATCAATATTGCATCCTGTCATACAAGTAAAAATGCACCATATACTGACTTTCGACACTTCACAGGTAAGAGAAAATCTCACAAAGAAAAGGTATCAACAGTGTAAAAGCATGCGTCCTATTCAATTTTCACACTTCGTTCGGTGATCATCATGCAGGTCGGGGGAAACCATGGCAACAAAACTCCACACAATATATAACTTCAAATGTCGAGCCATCTCAGAATCGAGAGGAGGTGACCAAGACGTTCGACCAGTTGGTATCTTCTTTGAACGGAGAAATGAGGAGCAACGGGAAGGAATTTGACGGCAAGAAGCTTCTCTCCACTCTTATGCAAATGGTGCCTCCCCAAGGCAAGGAAGCTAAGACTCCAGCTCATGCAGAAAAAGGCAACAACTTGTCCTACAGCGACCAATCATATGTAAAATGGTTCAATGCTTTGGACAAGGCCCAACGAATATCTGGTGTCAACGTCACCTTTCCAAGATACTTCGGCAGAAACTTCGCAAGGGGACCTCCAGTTGGCACGTACCCCAAGTTTAAAGAGCGAATACGTCACATTCGATGGAAAGTAGAGAATGGCTGGAATCCTTATTCTGTCAAGGCGGAAACAACACCGTAACAATGTGGGTGGCTGTTGTCCATCACAATCTCTTCCTTATTTTAGAAGCTGGAAAGGCAGAAAGATGAGGACGATTGTGAGAGTGCGGTGGGCACTTCAACGATTTCAGCAAGAAGGCAAACATGAGATAAGAGGTGCTTCAAGGATGCAGCATACAGTAGTACCAGGTATAAATACCTCTAGTACAGTACCACTATACCGGTAGCTATGAACTATTCACTATCACTATTGCTATGTACTAGGAACTATTGACTATCGCTATGACTAACTATAAAACTATTCACTATCAACTATTCACTATCAACTATTCACTACTCACTATTTGACTATCGTCTGTAGTTCGTCCTTTCCGTCTGTCTGCCGCACGTGCCATCATTGAATCTACAGTCATCGTCCACTCTCTAGCCATCGTCTTGCGGTCAACCCACCCCGTCTGTCGGTCGCACGTAAACGAGCGAAGGGTCTCTGTTGCCATCGTCTATGGGTCGTCCGTTACGTCTGTCTGTCGCACGTGAACGAGCGAAGGGGGCTCGTTTACGTGTGATCGACAGACGCCATATACGATGGCTGCACGAGCTCTGAATAACACTAATAAAGGCCTACTTCCGCGCCTGGATGTTGTACGTGTGCATTCCCGCAAAGCTGTTGCGACACGTACTAGACACGGGCGCGGGGAGCAGTTTATACTAGATCCCCCGGGGATAGAAGAAGGGGAAAGACGAGGAAATATAAATAAAAGGAAAGAAAAAACAAAGAGGGAAAAGAAGAAGAGAAAGCAATAGAATTGCAATGAAGGGGCCCTACAACACAGTGCTGGTTTCACACATGGCGTCGCAAGATGACATACGCACCGTAGAACTCCAGTAGACGAAGTACCAATTTCGCAATTTTGGATCCATTTACCAGTCGATGGAGTCGAACATTTATTTTGGAAGATCAATATCAATTGCTCAATACTGGAACGGCCGGGAAATAGAAATTTAGCATACAATTCTTGGGAGTAAATATTGATTTTCCCGGCCGTCCCTGTACCGCGGTAGAATGTAACCAGCGGGCATCATCGCATAATCAGGCCAAGAATATGATGAACAGGAGCCGATAAGAGGCCGTAATGTCAGGGGACGCAGGAGGAAACGACAATAACAAGAATGTAACCACCATTAAGATAATCTCTGCAACTTACGGTCCTTGTGAAGGACTACAGCTGTCGACAGGCGAGTCAACGAGTGACTTCAAAGCAAGCTTTCCACATACTCGAGACGTCTCCCTCTTTCTACAAGCACTGCTATTAATACACGCAGCTACCCAAGCTGGTGAAGCAGCAACATCACTAGTAGACGAAAACGCAGGTGTTATCTCGGACCGAAAGAGAAGCTACGGGGCTGCCTTTTCCAAAACCAAAAAGCCACCTCCTGCAGCAAACACAGCCCAACCGAATATGAATTTAGGTGCAATTGAGACAGTCACAACAGCCACTCCTTTTGTCTTCTTGCTTGGAAATGGCGGAAAACTGGCAATGATGAATGCTATTTTTGGAGATCCTTGTCCAGGGACGTCCAAACGGCTGAAGGTTCACTATCTTGTTTGTGAGAATGCCGTGACTGAGATTCATCATGACACTTTTGCCGAACACGAACAGGTATTCTTGCGCCAGCGGCTCCGGTTGTTTCAATCATCGGACTCTCAGCTTCAAGAGGATCAACCATCCACTGCTAAAAACACATCCAGCAATATCAAAGCTGGGAATAGGAATCAACATCGTGCTACACGTGGAACTGGGGGAACCGAGCAACCACCGCTGAATTCAAGAGACGACCGAATCGAGCATACCTCCCCACTGTGGACGTTACATTCAGACACTTCGGAGATCATCTTGCCCTTAGTATTACCCTTTCTCAAGCTATCACAAAGGGTAGCATGCCGACTGGTGTGCAATTTATGGAAGAGCATTGTGAAAGATTGGGGTGTAGCGACTACGATTGATTGCAACGACAAGAATATTGCCAACTTTTCAAGACCATTTCTCCGAGGTATATTGTCGCACAGTTATTCAAGTCTTAAAAGTCTAGTATTGGACGGCTTTGTGTGCTTGGAAAAGGAGGATTTGCATCTTTCCATTCCGCACCTTCGGAAACTCGAGTCTCTGGATTTGTCTCGATGCCGCAATCTTGACAACTCCACCATGATTCTACTTTCCCAACACATTCACTCGACACTACAAGTACTCTATCTCAAGGGCCTGGAAAAGGTTTCCGATGAAGGAGTCATCGCCATATGCAACTCATGCACCAAACTGCAAGTTCTGGAGTTGTCCTACGTCCCAATTACGGATAAAGCTGGACTTTCCATTCAACACTTGCCCCAGCTTCGAGCCCTTTTCATGAGGGACAATTACCGTATCACTGATCAAAGGTACGCGACGATACCATCATGTTGGAATCAATCTGTGAATACTTGATGATTGATTGATCCGTCTTGGTTTTGGGACTCATTCTTCTCACCTCAATGTCATGATGATTCTTCTTCCCATGCAGCATTGATGTGATTACTACCAAGTGCATTCGACTGAAACAATTGACGCTGTGGGGCTGCATCAAACTTCGAAATTTGCAGTTCCATAGATCGGGTGACAAATTGGTGATCCTGAACCTATGGGGATGCTATAGCCTCTCTGATGATATTGCGTTATCTTTTGCCAACATGAATCAGCTGACGAGTCTTACTGTCAGCGAATGCCATCGCCTATCGGATCAATTTGTGGTACGTCAATTATTTGATCTAATCTGCGTCTTGCACTGAAACGTCTTCCAATGAGTACTCTTACATTTACGCTCGTTGCTGACCTTCTTCCCTTCCTTTCTTTCATATTGTTTCAGGAGCGTCTGGTGGAATATGTTCCGCAGCTGCGGCATCTGCAAATGCGATATTGCAAACGCCTAACTGATCAAGGAGTCGAAACCCTAGCCTCTCGCCTTTGCAACTTGTATACCTTGGACCTGAGCTTTTGCACCAAGTTGACGGCCGACTCTTTGTTTCATCTGCTGAATGTCTGTCGTGACAGCCTGTCTGAGCTACGACTCCAAAACTGCCGACAGCTGACCATTGGCATGCAATTTCGTGACACGGGAACCCGTCGAGGACTCGAGAAGGTCGAAGGGAGTGATGGGCGGTTGCTGGCGAATGCGATTCGATCTCACCATCCAAAGCACAGCCTGTCAGTTCTGGACGTCAGAGGATGTGGGAGTCCCGATTCTGTGTATCGTAACATTATACGTGCCCATTCCGAACAAGCTGGTGAACAGCGCAAGAAACCATTTTGGGACAAGGATCCATTTGTCATTGCCTTGAAAGGATTGGATTTTGAGCAGAAAGTGCCTGGCTTTTTCTCGCGTCAGCCTCGATGGAGCAATGTCCAGCGGCGGCTCTTGGAGCAAATGAGTTCACCATCCGCCAATTCAAATGCCAATGTGTAATATAAAAAGCTTAATGGCCACGTTTTCAGTTTTGTGCCGTAGTTGAGATAGAGTACGTGTCCCCTGCCCTTCTTCACTTTCGCATGCTTCTGCTTTGAAATCAGAACTTTTGAAAATGAGTCTTACAGGTACACATAAAATTGTGTATTCCTTGGAGAAAGAAGCGCTCGCAAAGCTGTGATTAACCAAGAATGCAGACGTCGCAAAATCTTACACATCGGGACCCTCCGCAACTCGTCCGTCGACAGACGAGTTGCTGAGGGTCCAGATCCCGCGTTACTCGTTTATTTTTACATAACGAATTCTGTTGGTGCTTGCGGATGTTGTTAATTGAACGATGTTCTTTTATCCAGCGAAAAAGCGAGTAGGAGACAATCCTGCATGAAGGAATTGCACAAGCTTCTCAACCTTCAATATAACAGAGCGCAACCTCACAATCAAACCAAACGCATATTTTGCCACAGCACAAGAATCAAAGCGTTGGCAAACCTTTCGAGTTCACAAGATGACTGCCGTTGATGCAGAACAAGCCATGACTATAGTCGGGACGATTGGAGGCTTCGCAATCTCCCTAAGTCTTGTTCCACAAGTGTATCTCACCTACAAGACGAAATGTGCTGACGATATTTCGTACACGTATCAGTTCATTTACATCTTTGGAACAGCACTTGTGAATGCATATGCCATATACTTCAAGCTTTATGCTGTCTACGTCCCATGTTTAGTGGAATTCAGTTTGATTGTCACGCTGACAGTTATGAAGGCCATATATCCCGCAAGACAGGATCTGATTGACTGTTCCAGACACAGCATTAAGATGTCGAGTGCTTCAAAAGGCAGTGCGACGCCTACTAATTTACAAATTATACAGCAGCTGATTGCCGATGAAGAACTCGCTGCGGTCGGTCACCAAGGTCATCATTTTGATTCCAAGGAATTTGAGAAGAATATGATTCGGAAATCAATTACACTCATGAAGCAAATGGCCGTAAAAGGGCACCACGATATCGAGCACCACGACATCGAAGCCCCTACAGAGAGGGCTCAGCTGTCGGAACTAGATGATTCTACTGAAAAGGCAGAAAATTCAGCTGATCAGAAGGAGGAGGTATGAAGAAGTCAGGTTCGACGCTTCAAACAACAAGGCCACCGAGCTGCGAAGTTGTTTTCTTGATTTCAGGGAAAGCAATGGCATGTAAAGTGACAGCAACCTGGAGTGACAAGCATAACACCTAAAGGGTGTAGTTCGAAGTCATACCAGCTATTCACCTGAGTATGTATGCTAAAGCTACCTCTCCTCTCCTTTCACCTTCTATTTATAATTTCTAATGAATTAAAATATTTATACGTACCGCACCAAAATACGAAATTTACAGTCCGAGTAGCATATTTTTCACCTTGCAACGCAATGATGCATGATTCTTACTGGTACTCGTCTTATCTTTTAAAAGCAGCAGCTTCGGATACCAACACGCCACCAACTCGAGATATGAAGGCAGTGGCCTACCGCCATGCTCAATCAATGGCTCCACTCATTCGATCGTTATCGCCACACCAAAACATTCCACCCTAACCATAACCCCAACTTGCGAAGATATATCGGATGGCGCTTATTGCAACTTCAACAATAAAAACAGAGAACTCAGTCTTGACCTGATAAATAAATTATGCTTAAAATATATATGGGGCAGTATGTTAGTCCAGGATGTTAACAATACACATTTATAATGCATTCTGATATGAACGTTGTATTTATTGAGAAAATGACACACGGGCGAAATTACCCGTGCGTACGCTACATCCGTCAAATTGAATAAAGATCCAGTGAAGTGAACCTCACATGAACTCACACTTTTTGCCACAGCAGAAGAATCATAGCGCACCCAAGCCCTTCGAGGCCACAAGATGACAGCCGTTGATGCAGAACAAGCCATGACAATAGTGGGGACGATTGGAGGCTTTGCAATCTCCCTGAGTCTTGTTCCACAAGTCTACCTCACCTACAAGACGAAATGTGCTGACGATATTTCCTACACGTATCAATTTATCTACATATTTGGTGCTTCATTGGTGAATGCATATGCCATTTACTTTCAGCTATATGCAGTGTACATTCCTTGCTTGTTGGAGCTATGTATGATTATTATTTTGACAATTATGAAATTCATGTATCCGCCAAGACAGGATTTGATCGACTGTTCCAAACATAGCATCATGATTTCGCATGCTTCAAAAGGCAGCTCAACGTCGATTAGTTTACAAATTATACAGCGGATGATTGCCAATGGAGAACTCACTGTGGGTGGTGATGAAGTTCATGGTGATGGCTCCAAAGAATTTGAGAAGCATATGTTAAGGAAATCAATTACGTTGATAAAGCAAATGGCCATTAAAGGACACCACGGCATCGAAGCCCCTACAGAGAAGGACCAGCAAACTGATTTAGATGCTACTGAAAGGGCAGGAAATTCAGCTGATCAGAAGGAGGAAGAAGCATGAGGAGGCCAAGGTCAAACGTTTCAAAGCAACAAGGACGAGGAGGAGCGAGCTGCCAAATCGGATCGGATGATACCCACTATGCTCCTCTGATGCAATGACAACTACAACAAAGTTCCGTCCAGTATATTTATTTTTAGCGAGTTCAATTGATGCTTTTGTTTAGAGTAACAGTCCATTTATCTCTTGGAGCAAGTTATGTACCGGTATTATATTGGCTGGTATGGTAGCTCATTTGATCTATTCGACTACGAAAAATCAGTTGGAAATACTATACTCTTACTCATCGTACGTGTTCATCATCTTGTTTTCAACACTTTGAATAGCATAGCCATGAGAATACTTCTCGCATTTTTGCTTGCCCTATTCTGGCAACAATGTCACTGCTTTCTTGGCTCTCCACTTATCACCAAGGCCACAATCGATGTCAAGACTAGATCCTCGCCCTTGAAAATGAACCTATTGACCGATCTTGGAGACATGTTGGGAGGTGGCAACAACGTTCTTACGCCTCAGCCGTCGCTTCCGTATTCAAAACCATTCTGCAGTAGCACGTCATGTGCTGAGGGTGTCCGAACCTTTGCGGTCCAAGAACGCTTGCTGACATTCACTGGCGAAGACTTTGACGTGGCGGAATTGCACCCGGGTGGTGGTAGCACGTCATTTGCCAAAGTCCGTGGTGCCATGCTGCACCTTCCCGGAAAAGACAAAATGCGCTTGACCAGTACACAAACGAACGAAGAACTGTTGGTCTTGGACCGCAAGCTAATTGCTGCAACACCCACCTACGATATTTACCGTGGTGGATCGGGAGCTGAAAAGATTGGATGGATCGAGAAAAAATTCATTTCCATGACGGATAGCTTTGATATCTACATGGAAGGAAAGGGGGGGTTCGGCGTGACTGGCTTGTTCAAGCCTCCTCCTGCCTATAAAATTACAGGAGACTTTCTGGATCGAAACTTTGTCATGCGAAACGAAGAAGGAGAATGCGTGGCAAGAGTCAGTGAGGATTGGATCATTGAATTTGATGCCTTCAACCATTACCAAGTTCAAGTAGCTCCAGGAATGGATGCTGTTTTGGTCTTGGCTTGTCTCTGCGCTATTGATGAAGAATTTGACGAAGAACACAAGGCAAAGAGAGAGCAAGAGGCGTAGGTCCTAAGGCTAGTAAAACGAAATATTTCGAAGTTATAAACTGTTATGAGTTATTGTTGTAGGTATAGTACTGCTGTGCAATAGTGTTCTGTTCTTTTTGAAAATCACAAAAGACAACGTGTCTTTCTTCTTTTCTATGATTGCTCCTCTGTGACGAGCTCTAGTATTCCTTGAGGATGGATTCCAAGACCAAGCGACTGGAATTCTTACAGGAATGCCCGTGGGTACACTGCCCAACGAGATTTTCTTCAGCAATCTCTTTCATATGATCTGACAGATAAGCATGCACACGGCTGGCGGATGATTCTCCAAAATCAAAATAGTATTCAGAAGCCTTCCAGAATTTGGCTTGATCAATGGCTTGTCGTTTCGCCTCTTTCAGATACCGATCCTGGAGTTTGGGAGGCTCCTCCGTAAAATTCTCGTGAGTGTGATGAGGCCACAAAATGTTGTACATGCCAGCGCTGGTCGGAGATCGTGCTCGTATGGCAGTCGGAACCAGATTGAAAAAGTCAACGCAACCGCCGGAATGGTGCTTGTCTTTTGCTTGTTTGGATCCGCATTTTGGAAGATTGCGGTGAATGGCAGTGTGTTTTTGGGTCGAAGGTAGATCAAGTGTTTGCACACCACTTGCGGCTGGATCGGGAGCTACATAGGCAACGGAGAGACCTGCTGTGATGCAAATGGTGGATCGAATGGAGAGCAAGGTGCCAGTGACATTAGGTGGAGCCGTTTGTGGATCGTCCTGTTTGACTTCCCACATTTCGGATGGTTGGAATTGCCATTCAAAGTGCGTCGATGAGCACCACACCTTCCAGGGAGAGTTGCTTTTCTGTTTGGAATAATAGGAATCAAAATGTTCCGAAGCTTGATCTTGCAACTCTTCCACAAAGAACTGGTTGAGACCATCGTCTACATCCAGCCTGGTTTCCAAAATGTTTCGAGTCTTCATCATGTACTCCTTTGCCGAAGTATAATTGCCACCCACGATATTTTTTGCTCCAAGATTGGCTTGGTGTTTGTTAATGTTCCAGTACTCTGAATGAGGATTGTCGTTGCTGGCAATGACCAAGTAAGTGAAATTACCACCCAATGTTTCGAGTGCTTCAAATAGTGCACTCTTCACTTCTGTATTCAATTCGGGATCGATTCGAATCACACAAAGAAAGTTCTGCGAGGATTGGGCCGAGAGCGAAGGCAGGAAGAACTCCTTCATCAGTGCAAGCCGCGCGAGTCCAAGCTCTACCAAATGAGGTTGGTGCTGCATAAAACGACTGTGAATAATGTGCACCAACAAAGGGTCTTCGCCATTCTCATCTTCATCTTCCACGCCCTCACTATTTGATGCAAGCTCTTCGTCTGATGCAGTGGCTTCTTTCAACGATTTCTCTGCCGGCATGTCGGATGTTTTGCTCTGGTCTCGCAAGGGTTCTGATTTTAATAATTTAGCTGGTGGGCCCATGGTTAGCGGACTCCGGGACCGAATGTAGTGCTCTGGCGTTGGACTTCGGTCTAGAGGGATACTGGAGTTTGATCCACCGGGTACAGGTCCCACTGCATCGCCGGATCGCCATTGAAAAAATACAAGATATCCAACTGCAAAACACACACACCAGCCCAACAAAAGACACTTTTCCAATGTCAACAAGTGCTGAGTGGTGTGAGTGAGAGATGACCGCCGTCTTCGCTTTTTGACGGGACGAGAGAAAGAAGCAGGTCGAACAAGAGTTGGAGATGGTGGGAACACTTCTATACTTCGTACTTTCTGCAAAGGCAAACCAGAGAGCAAATCATAGTCTGGCCTTGTACTACGAGGACTCCGTCTTGTCATTGTTGCATTCAACAAGGAACCAACGTCTTGTGGTCTGGAGGGAGAGCCATTCGTATCTATAGAATCGGAAGAAGAGGACGTCATAGAGTCTGAAGAAGCCATACTCAAGATGTTATTACTTGATGGCGGTGTTGATGGGTTTGATTGCATGTTCGAATCCTTTATAATAATAGATGTCCCACTACAAATTTCAATCGATTGGTGGGAGAAGAGACCAAATAAGACGCACACATGACTCCACTCAAAGCGTGCCGGTCTAGCTTTTTTCGGAATAGGAAGTACGACATCCGGTGAGAATTTTCACGTTATGGGACGAATGTTCATCTCCGTTACTGAATATTTTGTATTCGAAGAATTTCACTAAGTACTTAAAACAGATGAGCCAACCAAAAAGTCACAGTCCGCATGAACGTAAACTCTACTTCTGCGGTATTTCCAGAACCCGGAAAACTCTCTCCGATCCAGCGGAGTCACACATATCATACAGTAAAGGATACAGACCCATTTGATTTGTAACTTGAATAGATTCAAACGCATCTATGTTTAATGGAGAATACTCCTTAGAAAAATTGCTTCGACTCAATCATCAATCGTCCGTTTGGATCGTTTCAATTCCCGTCATTGCCTACACTATCTGTGCCACTACTGCCGGAGCATCTTCGGCCACGGGAAGTGCCGGTTGGACATCAAATCCAAGAGCATTCACATAGGCTTTGTACCGTCGCATATCCCACCAAGGTCGCTCGGTCGGCCGTCTCCCAATCACCCGAATTTGCCGTCGAGCTTCCTCCACTAGTCCAGTCATGGTCAAAGCAAAGGCAAAGTAATTTCGACTGGTCCATTCAAGGTATTTTTCGGTGCTTGTACTCGCTTGGGATGATGTTTCGGATGCCCCTGGAAAGGCATGCTGGTAGGCTTGTCGAATCTCGGCAATTACTCCAGTCTGCCTCCAATAGTTTCGTCTTTGCTCGATCAAATTTCGCTCGTAGTGTGCCATGGGAATCAATGCCCAAAGCGGATGACCGGCTGGCAAACCGCTGGTAATGGATCTCGCATACGCAAACATTTGCTGGTGGGATCCATGCCACTTGGCACAATAGTACTCTAGAGCGGCAGCGTGAAATCGAAACAGCAATGGCTCGTGTGCTGTGTTCTGAAGTCGATTCAGACAGGTTTCCACGTCCAAAATACTTGGGTCCTTATTCTTCAAGCCCTTTGCAATCGGCACTGCATTCGAATACACGAGAGGGTCTTCTGGTGAGAGTCTGCTAGCCTCTTTGAGCTCTGCGGATGACGCTTTCAAACGATCGAAGAAAAGGCTCCATTGTTGTTGCTGGACCATGTCTGCCGTTGCCGAAGATCTGGCATGCCAAGCCCAAGCGGTTTGGACTTGAGCCCGGAGGATACGACAGTCAGTGCTACTGGACTCCGCCTCAATCCAATCATCTAGGAATGGACAACATGACTCCTTTTCTTGTGTCCTCTCCGCTGGCCAAGTCTTTCGTACTTCCTCGGCAATAACTCCAAAATAGTAGGACCGTTCTTCGTTTTGTTTACTCTGCCCATTTTCTTTCAGACTAGACAGCACGTCCCGGATCACTTCCCACTCCTTATTTGCCATGGCCTCCTTCAATTTCAAAACGACGGCATCGTCTGGAAGGGCGTGCAAAAACTCAAAGTCAAAGTGAGCATCGGGTATGGCCTCCTTCGCCTGGGCGACAGGAACACCACCGTCGTGCGACGGAACCATGATGAGTTCCACCCCAACCGCCATTGGATCCTGTCGGTTTACACGTTGGTAAGCCGTTTGTCTTTGCCCTTCTCCTTGCCTCTGAGAGCTGGTGTGCATAATAATGCGACAGCAGCGTAACAGTGAATAGAAGATGAACACGGTCCAAAACATCGCACCCAATGGATCAGCATTAGAATTTGAAGACGACCCGGAGTGATAACGTGTATTTCCACCAGAATGATGGTAAGAGCCGCCGCTGTGATACGAACTTGATCCGCCGTGTGTATTATAGAAGGGGGAACTTTGGAGGTTGTTAACGGACGAGCCTGGAAGGATGACATCCGTTCCACACAATCGAGACCCAACTCCATAGCGACTATCCACATTGGAGCAGTCAATTGCGTAGCCATCAAATATTGTTGTTCTTGAACATTGGCCTGGTGCTTTGTAGGTGCAAGATTGACACTGCTTTCCATTGAAAGTCACGACACAAACATTCTTGGCAGCTTTCACACACAAGTTATTTCCGTGAATCCAGTCATCGTAGCATGTGTTTTCCATATGAATATTTGCCAGGGTTTCATAGTCCGCATTATTGGATGAGGAAGACATGGTCATAAGGGCAAGTCAAGCTACCTTAGAAACTACTTCTGGTTAGATGAAACATCTTCGTTGCGCGTTCTTCTTGCTATTTCTCAACAATAAACTGCGAGATTGACTCTTGTAAGTGTCACCCTTTCGCATTCGAGACGTAACTTACTACCCGAAAGTTGCTTCCCTTCGCAAAGGTGTAACCGGAAGTCTTCCGAGTCAGTCGAGCGGTTATCACCAGCACAGTTAGTGTATTATATAATTACATACAGTAAAATGCGATATTACATTACAAATCTATACATAATAGCCGCAAAAGTGGCCCAGAAATAGAAGCCCGGCTATTGTACTCCTACACCACACAGCATCATTGGCACTACAGACCCCAAGAAGCTAGGTGATTAGACACAGCACAGTATTTGGCAATCTCTTCCTCATCGTGTAAGACTCCGATGTAGGAAGTAATCACGTCTTTGTACATTGCAAGTGTGGCGGGTCCTTGGTTCAGCATCGAGAGAACGCTGATTTGGTTAGATCGGTGGCACTCCTTATCCATGGATGCCACGATCTCTTTTTGAAAGACTTGGTATTCGAGTAGACGCTCTCGTATTAGTTTGGCAAATGAGACAATAAATTCAAAAGCTTCTCCACCAGAGTAGAACTGCAAGCTTCGAGGGTCCTTGCTAATGGCGGCAAGGGCCACATCTTTGTCGTAGGCTATTTTTTCATCGACATCTCGAATTATACGAGCATCCACTGCCACCGCCTTCAAGATAAAATCTTTGTCACCCTTCAAGGCATCTGATATCATGTTGAAATCGCTCCAATTCTTCCTGACAAGTATCAACACTAGCTCTTCATCCTCCGCGAACTCTTCTGGAAATTCATCCAACCAATCGCCGCCGCTATTCAACCAAGCACGTGCAACCTCGCGATTTGACCACAGTTCTTTGCATACATCATGGTACACAAACTGCAGATACCTTGCGTGAGTTTCTATGGTCAACACCACAAAGGCTGGATTATCCATCTGATACGACTCTCCAATGAAGAATAGTACATTTGGGGAGCCTTCAAGTGCCGCCAGCGCGATATCCCTATCAACTTTTAATTCATCCGAGCAGTGTTCCCAAATGGACACATCCTTCTTTATGGCTTTCATCATGAGTTCCTTGTCACTACGAATTGAAAGTGGGAACGAATCTAGTACCATTGGCAACAGGTCGCCTCCGCCATGGTTAGCAATAAAGCACATCATGGCCTTGTGGCTGGAAAATAATTCAGGACAAATCGCAAAGGCTGCCATGGCAAGATCTTCGGAAGTACTTGGAGACGTCACGAGGGCCAATGCGACCGGAAAGTTGCACTTTGTCTCCATTGGAAGGTCCTCCCAGATACTACCATTCGAAAGATGAACAGCCTTGGCCACAAAGTCTAGTTGTTTGCGAAAGTGATCGGGAATCATACACCACTCAACACATGGATTGCGCAAGGCAAACAGCACCACTTCTTCATCACATTCGTACAACTCTAAACAATGCTTCACCCCAGATAGAGGAAGATGTTGAACAACCTTTTTCGCGAATTCACTGTGCTCTAAAAGAGTTTGTTTGACAATTCCAGGCAAGCAATAGCGAAAGGAGGCCGGATCTTGCTTCGACGCCTCGGATACAATCTCTTGGTCACGACGAAGGTCGTACGAGGCGTGCTTCAAATTCATTCCTGATTGACGAACGCAATGGAGCACAACTTCAGGGTCGTCTTTCAGTCTTTGGGACGCAAAGCGGAGGACTTGACCGTCTGCTTGGTGGTTGCCAAAAGCAACAGCACTGAGAAAGAAGGACTTGTCGTTGCGCAGCACACTAGAGCAATATGCCATGGAGGATAATCCATTGTTTGGATGGCTCAAAACTTCCAACATGACATCTGCGTCAGATCGCAGAGTTTCCGAAAAGTGCTGCAGAAAATGGGCAGGTAACTTGGATCGATTCAAGATAGCCCGAAGAATATCTCCGTCGTCTTTCAACTCGTTCGAGACGAATTCAATCGCGTTAGGACAATGCTTGACAATCTCCAAGACCAGTGCTTTGTCATTTCTTAGCTTTGGAGGAACGAACAGGTCACTATCCCCGTTGACGCTCTTGGCAAAGTCTTGTCTACTGACACGGGCAATCAGAATATCTCGATCCAGGCGAATATGAGACGGAAAAGTACCATTTTCAAAGTCCTCTAGCGCTTCAGGCAATTCTGGTGACTCCAAGGCAGCTAAGATGAAATCTTTCTCTCGTCTCTCTCTTCTCGATAGCAGTCTCCAAGTAGATGGAGCATCTAGCCTCAACCTTGCCAGTTTGATGTACTTCTCTTGCTCTTTCTCCAAACTTCTCATCTTATCTTGCCAATGCTTGATCTGTTGCTTGCATGCCAAGATTCGACGACATCTGATCTCGTTATTCTTTACTTCGTCTCCAAGGGAAGGAGAAGAAGACAGAGGAATGTCATCCATCATTGTTGTCATGGTGGTGTGATATACAGTACAAGAATTGTCTCTGCAACAGCAGACATTTGATTTCCCGCCGAAACTGGCCGCAAGATGATACTCTGATGTCGTAGAGACAGTAATAGGATGTCGTTTTGATACAGAAACTATCGCTGGCGTTTCGCAGAAGTACTGTAGCCGTAGTTACGTTACACGTACAACGCAGGCCACACTTTGAACTTCCGTGATCAATAATCTGTTGAAGATATTTTATTCGTTGAATGAATCAATCCTTGGTTGAAGTTCCATTTTCCCTTCACAACAAAAGTGGGTACACGACGGTACGTGTACGTGTACACGTACGAGGTATTTTATGTTTGTTTCAAAATTCATTCCGAAACCATGAAATTTCTTTTCAAGCATCTCCTTTCCGAATGAATCAATCATCGTCGTCGATTGATTCTGTTTGTTCGTCCGATAGGTACACTACAGTTCAAAACAGGTACCACCAGGTACTCTTGTTGGTCATCAAGAATATGATATTGTCCAAGTATTTTATCATAATACGTGTACCAGCACCACTGTTCTTTCTGCTAATGTATTTCATTATTTTAAATGTAAAGCTACAGTATTTCAATAATTGCTGGCATTTTAAAAAACCGGACGGCATTTTGAATTTGCCCGTAGTTCTTCGCCTTTTCATAAAAAATATTATCAGAAATTCTCATTCTTTTTTCGGTACATTTTCCCACTTGAACTTTCTGAAAGCAAAACACAACAAATACTCTTAGTTTCCGTAGGACTGTTACCATGTCAGCTGTTGATGTCAACCAAATAATGACCATTATCGGGACGATTGGAGGTTTCTCCATCTCCCTTTCCCTCGTTCCGCAAGTGTATCTCACTTATAAGACAAAGTGCGCAGACGATATTTCGTACACCTATCAATTCATTTACATCTTCGGAGCTGCCTTGGTCAATGCCTATGCCATTCATTTTCAGCTATATGCCGTTTACATTCCTTGCTTGTTGGAACTTTGTATGATTATCATTTTGACAATCATGAAGTGTGTGTATCCGTCCAGGGAGGACATTAAGGAGATCTCACGGCAGAGCATGGCAATCTCACGAGGAACACAAAGTGGAGTTGATATGAAGTCCCTGTCGATGGTAATGCAAAAAATGAAATCCATCCGAGAACTGCACTGGTCCGATGATGAAGAGGATAATGGTGATGATGATCGAAGAAGCACTCTAAAGACGAAGAAGACCAGCAAGTCAGTCCGTGGATCCTTTGCTCCTGGACAAGATGAAAAAGCTTTTCAACGACAAAGCAAACTCATGGAAAGAAAGTCAATCGCGATGATGAAACAAATGTCCGTCAGAGGAGAGTTCGATATGAGCCATGTAGCGGGGAACGACAAAACAAAAATTGAAGCCGAGAGCGATGAACTGGAACACGATGCTTAAACAAGATACTGCGTCAGGTGAAAGAGTCCACGAATAGTCGAGACTTTGAAACGTCAACTTCTATCATCATATGTCTTCCTCTATTACCTCGAATTATTCGTCGTCTGATTGCTTCCTTTCTTTTGGGCTTGTTCTTTCCATTCTGTGGTTCTATCGGAAAATTTTTCGACCTGTTCTTGGGTTGTCTCTTTTTCCGAATCGTCGCCTTCTATTTGCTCCAGTTCTTCTTCATCATCAATAGCGTCCAGATCGAGTGCACTTCTGAAGCATTGTATCTGAGAGGGTGCACTGGGTGGCACGTTTGCTCCGACGCGCAGTCCTTCTCGGTATCGCATGTAACGAGGCTTGATGTAGATAAGGCAATTGAAGAAACCTTGCATGGGGTTGAATACAACAGTAGTAGCCAACAGAGGAAAGTAGAGATATCCAGTTACTTCTGCAATGACAAATGTGATCATTGGAAAGATCCATGTTAGGCAGAAAGCCAAAATGTAGAACCATGCCTGAGACGCAAACCTTTGTGATAGATTGTGCCTTTTCTGTTTCCTTGACGATGTTGCATTCCGACCCGTTGTAGTCCTTCGACTCGTCATTAGGCTCCTTCCACTCTGTAATATTAGACTCCTTCCGCTCTGTGGTTGTGCGGATTCGTCATTTTCAACAGATCGGTCTGGTTCTGCATCTGCATCTGCTTGTGCTTCATATTCGTACTTTCGGATTGCAACTTCGTTCTTTCTCAGTCTGAAATAAATATACAGCATTGCAAAAGCTGAAAATAGGAAGCACGCCCACAATTCAGCATGAAAGAACACCCAGCGATATATTGATGAGTTTTCTCCTCTTGTACATTCTATGTCGGGGTTGACAATACAGCTCACAGGAAAGGAACCTATCCAGCAAGTCCAACCAATGGGGTTCATGAGATTCATTGGCAAGGTCGCAAACGCTGTGGACCAACCAATCACCAAGGGCAACCCATGCAGAAATGGCTCTATTCTTTTGATTTTGTCAAGTCGCCAGGAAAATGCAATCGTCAACAAGTAATACAGTGTCAAAGACCCATTGTAGAGGATGCTTGACAAGGAGCCGCCATGTCCCAACACTGCAGCTGCTTCGCAAGTTTCAGTTGTCCCACTTGCCAAATATCCAGTTCCCTCTGGATTCGGCCATGTGCTGACAAAGGTTTTGATTGCGTATATGAAGTCCATTGTCGACATGGCAGCCAAGAGCCGATGGTAGGTTCGTTGGCGTCTCTTGCTTGATCTCAAAACATGCTGAACAATGTACACTGAACCGACTATGGAAGGAATGGCAGTGATTTTAGGAACCAGGGCCAGAACCATTTGCTGCTCCAAACTGAAGGGAGGTAAATATTTTGAATTTGGAGGCATGGCAAGATGAACCCTACTGCACACAATAATATGCTGCGTTGCTACCGTATTTAAATTTTCAATGGCAAATCCAAATTGCAGGAACCATGTCTTTTGACGTGTTATATATACCGACCGTAAAACACATGTTCTATTTCACCGTTGTATCTGTTTCTCTATTTCTCTATTGTACCGCATGTCGGCATGATTTTCTTGCACCGCAGGCACACTGTTCGATTTCTTTGACTACATTGTGTTACAGACGGACAAAGGCCGAACGGCCTTCGACCGTCAAAAGTTGTTGTCGATGCGCCGAGGCAATGATGCCCAGTTTATCGACTGAGATTGAATTCACCCACTTGTGTCGTGGTAATTCAATTTTACGTGTTGAAGCACCACGTTAATATCTGCGCATTCAGAAATCGAGCATATCTCTCTCTCATCCACAACAATGGTGAGTCAGTTTCCAATGACAGATCATGCAGAATCATCAAGAGGAAAATGAACAGTAGACAGCTCGACGAATTCTCACCGGAACCAAGGGACGATTCCAATCGAACAAAGGGGGATGAAGCTGAAACGACGCATTTTCATTTGCCTCAGCATGCCAACGCAAACGGCGAGACGAATAGCCCATGCTTTATCGAAGGTTGCCAATGTCAGGTGGTCAATGAAATGGTCGCTGGGGTGGTCGCTGATTGGATCAGTAAACAAAAGCCCACCACACGTGAAGAGGGTCAGGAGGGAGAGGAACCTCAATCCACCACTGAAACTGGAGAGAAGCAAGGATCACGACAAATCACACAGCCAATGATGACCTCCGATTTGAAACAAGCCTCGGCCGATGAACCTTCTGTCAATGATGAAGCTGCAATCTGGAGTTTGGGGCGGCATGCAAACGCAAACGACGAGAAGAAGCCATGCTTCACTGAAGGTTGCCAACGTCAGGTGGTCGCTCTATGGGTCAGTAATCAAAATCCTCCAGCCAAATGGTTCACATGCGAAGAGTGTCAGCGTAAGGATTTCGACTTGGACGGGTGGCCTGAAGAAGAGATTCCAAAGTTAAGCAATCGGACACTGATGCCTTCTGTGGAAGCAAAGTCGAGTTCTAAAGACAATGATACAAACTCATCAACCAAGAAGAGATTTGGTGCGAAAAAAGGCCAGCCAAAGACCAAGAGGATTAAGGCACGGATAATCGATAACTCTGGCCAGCCGAGCCTGATGCAGCGACCACCTCCTTTGTCGTCCCAATGCTCACCAGTAACTCCGTCACCGGTTCGACCAGATCAAGATGGTTGGCCGGGTCCGATGCAACATCCCTCTCCTTTGCGATTCCAATGCCCACCAATATTTCCGTCTCCTGTCCTGCCAACAAGTCCTTCACCAAGATCCCCATCAATCAATGATGTCGTTCAGCCCCAGATCGGTGTGCCAAATCTAGTACCGAAGACCGATGGATCAAAATCAAAGTTGACAGACCAACGCGTCGTGGCCACAATTAAGCGTTGCAAGAAAAGCAATAATAATGGAAAGGTCACGTGGACTAATGAAGAGCCGCCCTTCTCAACTCCAAACATTACGGATCATACTTTCAAACTTCGAAGAGGGGGAACCTGCAGAGTCGTACCAAACATGATCCCGCCAGAGATACTGGCAAGAATTGAGCAAGAGGTTTTGAACTCTGGCCTATTTCGTCAGTACAGCTTGCAAGGACAAGACGAACCGAGGGTTCACTGTCTCCTCCACGGAAAGGCAACCGATAACTTTGAAGCTATGCAACCTGTATACGGCTATGCACATTTATGGATGAAAGCAAGACCTTTGAGCAAGCTTCCACATCTACAAGGCTTGGCGAAAGACCTAGCAGCAATTTTTGGGGTCGACAGCTGGAACATTGGTGTGAATCCTGTACTATATCGAGGATCAAATGATAGCATGGGAGAACATGCGGATGACGACCAGGGAGAGAAACTCATATTATGCCTTATCGTTTCCTCCCCGAAAGGAGCACGACGTGTCCGCATAACAACAAAGACAAAAGGCGAAGATGCCGAAGATGATGACGAACGAATCGACTTGATGCTGGCAGCGGGAGACGCGTAAGTACACTTTCTTTTACTTTAATCTCTGATGCTGTTCCTTCTGAAATCCGATCCTTGTTCATAGGTATGTAATGGATGGCGAAATGCAAAAGTACTATTTTCATTCTGTCCCAAAGTCGAAGGAAACGGTTGGCGCCGAAGAATCCTTTCGTCTCTCTATTGTTTTCCGTACTGGGAATGACGTTTATCAGTTGCAAGACTCTGGACGACCGTGTGAAAATCTCGCCCCGAAGATTCGCCCAGCACAAATCTTTGGCAATAAAATCAATGGACTTGACGAAGGCACTCTATACTCTCGAGCTGAGTTATTCAATATGGGTGCCCATCGAATGCAGCAACGCGGAATCAGCGGAAATGTTAAGGCAGGTGCTGATGCAATGATTGTGAGCGGCCTTCGCGAAGATAAGCTTGGAGTCGATCACTTCTGTAAGCTAGTCTACGCAGTAGAACAGGTGAAGGGAGGCATGTCGGTCATGACGAGCTTCAACAAAGGCTTGCCAATTCGTGTCTTCCGATCAAGCAACTATCAGAGTCGGTATAAAGCAATCTCTATGAGCGAGATGAAAGATAGTTCGACAAAGTACAGATATGACGGTCTGTACAAAGTTGTGAAGAAGCGTGATCCTGTGACGTGCAAAGGTCCCTTCATTTTTGAACTTTGCAGAGTGGAAGCTGGCACGGATGAGAATTCAAATAGGTTTAACAACAGAGAAGTTTTCGTCGAATATATAAAAATGGGGACTATGTCGACTCTGGAAACATACCCACCGGTTGAAACCTGTGATGATCTAATTCAAAACGTTGTCGACAAGGCGGTTGCCTATTACGGAAGGAATGAGGATCCTCCTTGTTTGCATACCGAAATCGTGTTGGTGCCCCCGTTACAGGAAGTTGTGGCAACGCAAGCTCACACAGCTGATTCTGAACAAGCTAACAAAAATACACTTTTGATGTCTGGTTTACTTTAAACCATGATATACTGTACAATACTATTTTAGTGGATGCTTACAGTAGTAGTCCTAATATACTATATACAAGTATTTTACATCATCAGTTGATTGACATCATCCCCTTAATATTACCCTGTAATTAATTTCACTTCCCCGATGAAAGACACAGCATTTTTGAAAACTCAAACACGACAAAACCAAACTATCAAACTCTTGCTGCACCATGGCGACGGCACCGACAGTCTCAGAAGCGGATGTCATCTTGCCGCCTCCTACTGCATTAAATCCCATTCCGGAGCTTTCAGCTGCTTTGCGATTAGACAATCAAGAGCAATTGATAGAGCTGTTGCAAAGGAATCCAACTCCAGCTGCTCCGTTTGGAGGCGCTGACTTTCGCCAGCTCCTCATTTTTGGGTCCTCCAGTTTGAGAACGCTGCTTCTGAGGCAAGTCTTAAATGATCCGCATAAACGCCGATCAAAGGAGAAGCAAACAAAAAAGAACTGGGACAATGTCAATACGTATCAGTATCCAAAATCACTGCAGGGCAGCATTGCCGGGACAAGGCTTTTGGAACAGACCTCTCTTGCCTCCTCGCCGTCCTTTTCCGTCGCAACTGGCTTGGATGGGGCTGCTGAAGTATCTTTCAAAGATCAAGAAGACGACGAGTTTCAACATGTGGACGTGCTTACCTACTTTGTTCGTCCATGGGACATTGGCCAAACTCAGGCAGTGACCCGCAAGATCCATAGCTGGAAGAAGAAGGTACATCATCGAATAGTGTACATTCCACAGCCAACTGCTTTAGTAATGCAAATATTGCAAGATTTGGGTCTTGCAGCTGCTCCGAATGTGAGCATCGCATCCCTTCAATTGGATTTGTTCCCAATTGAGACGGACGTTTACAGTTTGGAGTATGAATTGGCTGTGAAGGATGATTTGGTCGAGAAAACGCCGTCTACAATGATCACAACTTGTGCACGAGCCTTGCTGAAACTTCAGGATATCACCGGCAAAATTCCCAGAATTCAGTCCATTGGAACAACGTCTGAGAAGGTGCTGGATCGATTTCTGAATCAATCAGTAGATGAATACCTTTCTTCGCCAGAACGCGATCAAGATGAAGAAGCCTCCACACCGTTGCCAAATAGCCACATCGCAATGTTGTTTATTGATCGGAAGATTGATATGGTCACCCCCATGTTGACTCCATTGACCTACGAAGGCTTGTTGGACGAGGTTGTAGGAATTGAAACCGGGTACGTCCATTCGAATTTATCTGATTACTTTACTTTCATAGTCCTATATTCTGACCAGTATGGAATATTCCACTCTAATTACCTACCAGATTCATACAAGTCGATGTCAATACAATCAATCCTGAGGACGATGTGGAGAAAGAAGATAAAAAGAAGTCGACAAACCCATTCGGGCCTGTTTCGAAGAAAGCAGAGGTCGTTTCTCTCGGAGTCCATGCTGGAGACTCTTTGTACGCCGAAGTCCGAGACCAACACGTTGAAAAGTTTGGCTCTTTCTTGCAAAACCAGGCATTGGCATTGCGAGAGAGCCACGCCAACTTTACAAACAAGGGGACCAAGAAAGATCTTCAAGAAATCCACCAGTTCGTAAAGCAGATTCCAGTCTTTACCCAGAACTTGAGAAGTCTGACCAATCACATCCACTTGGCGGAACTCATCAAGGCTGAGTCCGAACAAGTCAGTTTCCGAGAGCAGTGGCAAACAGAACGAAGCATGATTGAAGGTGAAGTCTGCAGTGATATTATGGAGGAGTGGATATGCAGCCGATATCCACCTTGGAAGGTTCTTCGAATGCTCTGTTTGCAGAGTCTTTGCACGGGTGGACTCAAATCAAATCGATACGATGCCTTCCGATCTTTGATTGTTGAGAGCTATGGGTACGAATTCTTGATGATGCTTCATGAGCTGGAGAAGTCTGGATTGATTCGAAGAAAGGAAAACTTCTTCATTGACAGCAACAGTTCTTCTTTTGCAAGCCTTCGAAAGTCCCTCATTCTCATCAATGCCGAGGTGGACACCGTCGAACCCGATGATGTCTCCTATGTCAGCTCTGGCTATGCCCCACTGACAGTGCGTTTGGTCCAATCGGCTGTCCAAGGATGGTCGAAAAAGAAGGACATTGTAGAGCAATTGCCCGGGCGGATCTTGGATATCCAGCAGTGCCATCCACCATTGGATATGAACTCAACACTGAAGACTCAAAATCCTCCCGTAACCACGGATAGTCTTGGTTCATATGCCAAAGCAGCACGCACCGAAACCAGCAAACCTGTTTTGTTTGTGGTGTTCTTGGGCGGAGTCACATTTATGGAGATTGCCGCTCTTAGATTCCTGTCGAAGCGACCCTCCTTCCCATTTACCATTATTGTCATTACTACGAAAATCATCAACGGAAGCACTCTTTTGCAGTCACTAGGATAGTCCAAATGAAGTTAGATGATAGAATTAAAGATTTTTTTCTTTCCCCTTCTCAAATTTGAAACCTTCTGCTGAAAACTAGAATCTAACGTCCAAGGTGGATGGTTGGGTGATCTCGGGTGGAGTTGGCGTTGCCTCCGCCTTGGAATTTGGCAGATCTTTGGATGCCCGTTTTGATGCGCTGCTCTTCTTTTTACGAGAGCTCGTCTTGGAATGGGACGAAGCATTGATGGTTTTGGAATGGTGGGATGACGAGTTCATGGTTTTGGAATGGGACGATGAGTTCCGTTTGGTGGATCGTGAACTTCGTTTTTTCTGAGATTTCTTCTCGTCGACCTCTGACATGTCAAATGGAGTGTCATCTGCACTCTTGGTCCTTCTCACATTTCTAATGTCTGGTGCTATACGACCTACATCTTGTTCATCTGTGGACGTCCCCCCGGCGCTTCGTCGTTGCGCCCTCCGCATTACCTTGTCGCTGGGCGTGGATTTGTTCTGTCGTATCTTTTTCTTAGTTTTGTCCTGCTTGCTATTGTCGCCATTTTCGTCAAGGGTGAATTGTTCCGACTTTGAGTGAGGATCTTCTTCCATCACCTCATTGTTGGCAGAAGCAACACTGAATGGTTCACTCTGAAACTCATCTTTTGGAGGTAACGCCTGCTGCTTCATCGGGTTAAATTGCAAGATGGAAGCTTCGTCTCCATATTTGATCTTTGTCAAGTTGTTGTCTTCTAGCCGCCTCGACAATAGATCGTCGTTGGACTTTCGCTTTTCGTTACAGACCCCACCTTGGAGAGCATCATCCAAGCTTTTGGTACGACGATGGGCACGAAATTTTGAGCCTTCTTGTGAACGAGCCTTGATACCCGAGCTCTTATTGACAGTAGATGATCGTGCAACTAACTGCTCTGACCCATTGTCGTCGAAAAAGGAATGCTGTGAAGCGTCAAGTTCTTTGGGTTGGTCATCACTGGCACCAAAGGCGTTCGGAAAATCGAAGGACTGATCAAAGCCGGAGTTCTGGTTCGACCCGTCGTCAATTTGATCAGCATCAAAGCCGTCGTCGTTGCTTTCAAAGTCATCCTCTGACTCCCACTCATCCGAGTCAGCTTCTTGCTCGGCAGAATAGGAGTGGCCACTCTTGGAAACCAGCATATTCACGCCCCCGTTCATGCTGATCTTCTTGGTCTTGGCTGCTTCAAGCTTCTGTCCCACATTTTGCTTCACCCTAGACAAGAATGACCCCTTTGTTTTCTTGCCATACTTGTTGGCGTTGTCTCCATAGATGTTCTCATCGTCCACGCTGAGTAGACCAACAGCCGAGGATCGACGAGCTTGGCGTCGAGCCTGATTCACACTGGCCATCTTCTTTTTTCTTGTTGCAATGTAATATAAATATAACGAAAAGAGACAGTGGTAACTTCAGCAACTACAGTATTGCCTGGTAGTTGGGGCTTGAACGTGACTTCGAAATCAATCTTCATCCATGTCTTTGGGCCTATTTTCGAGCCAAGAATGTCGCTCACTTAACGGGTAAAAACGATGGTTCGTTCGTTCCATTTAATGGGATCGGGAGCGGTCATTAAAGCATTCGAGGGAGTCTAACAGAACACGTCACACAATTTATGTGATGATTCAGGCCGTTTCAGAAAATGAGTTACAGAGGTGTACCCCCTGACAGTTTCAAGCTGCACCACATATCATGAAGTCCCTGCAATTCCTCTTCATCACAATTATCCTGTTTAAAGGATGTGGAGCCTTGCAGTCAGCGTACCGTTCCGGCTCGAAATGTTCTTCTGCACCGCTGAAGACCATGGTTGCCGAGAGTATCTTTGATACGACATCGACCTCGGAGCAACAAACCAAAACGCAGATTCTTCAACTGGGGGCGGCCTTGGATCGAGGACAAGCATATAACCCTACATCGGGTGAATATTACAAGGAAACCATGGATGTGGCACGAGCCAAAATTGAAGAATTGTTGGAGCAATCGCCTGACAAAATTCCCACCAAATTGGAAGATCTCGAGGGAGAATGGGAATTGGTCTTGAGTACCGTCCCGCATGGCATTTTCCGGTCGTCTCCCTTTTTCTTGGCCATTCAAGAATCCTACGAATACGCGGAAGAAAAAGAAATGAATGGGGAACCCAAGGCCAACCTCTTTTTTCGATTGCACGAACTCCAAACCTGCTCCTGGGGAACCTCCAAAATTGGCCGCGTCGCCCAACGAATTGATCCAACCAAGAAATACTTGTACAGTGAATTCGATACTTCCATTTTCAGTTTGACTGTAATTCCTATTTTGGGTTGGTTCAAGTTGTTGCCAACCTTTGGCGGCTGCGTTGTGACTGCCAGCAAGTGCGAATTGGAAGAAGATGGAAAGCTTTCCATGGAGGTGGACTTCACCACCTCTCGTAAAGTTCCTGGTCTGAAAGGGCTGCCATTGATCGGTGATTATGTTTGGAAAATCAATGTCCCAGTTGGCGCCATTTGGAAGTTGTTGCCTTGGAATAAGGGCCGTGCCGCAACTTGCAAGGTCTTTGTCAAGTACTTGGATAAGGACTTTCGAATCGTCCAAGATATTGACGGGGAATACTTTGTCTACACTCGACCAGTAGTTCCTCGGCCTTTGGAGATATAAGAATATATTATAGATGCGGATTGGATGTACGTGTAGGTATGTATGAACTAAATAATACTTTTTGCTACCTCTTTCGTTCAACTATTACAACTCGCATGATCACTCAATCTCTTTTTTTAATTCATGCGGTGTAGTGTATCTGCATCGAGAATGAAAACATCGTCATCATTTTCTTCATCACTGTCGCTATCTAGTTCAACATCCCGGAATCCCCCACCACCATTTTGTTCATCTAGTTGGTCTTCGAATTCATCATGGAATTGCCGTAAGTTCTGCTCAGACTTTGGTAGGTTCTTTTTCTGTCGCTTCTTGAATTGCTGGTAAAGCGCAGAGGCCCCAATCGCGACAATGAAAAATGCAACTACCGAGAAGAAGGGAGCACCCTTTTTGCCCGTATCTTTTGGAGGATTGCCTGCCAGAGATTGTACATTGTTTTCGTCTGCCCCCCCAGGAAGGTCCGTTGGCGAGTCGGTACCCAAGTCAAAGTGGTGATGGTGGGGAGTGGCAGTGGGAGCACCAAAAATTGTTGGACTGAGTGTGGGGAAAACGTATTCGTCGTCGTCGTCGTCATCTTCTTCCGCCTCGTCTTCCTCAAATTGTACTAGATCTTCATCCAACTCTTCCTCAAATTGTGCCAGATCTTCATCTAATTCCGAGCCATCAAGATCATCGATAATGACTGGAATCGATGGTGCTCGGGTTGGCGTATCAGTATCGGGATCAGTATCCGTATCATCGTCGTCACCAGTTGATGGATTCTTGTACTTGTTTCCAATGTCAATGCCAATATCGCCTTCGCAAATGTCATTGGACTCGGCCACACCCCTGGCAAATCCCACTCGCTTGTTTCCGAAATCAAAGGCAGTGTAGTACTTGTTGACAAAGGCATCACCCAATACCCATCCCTATTTGTCATGGCACGAAAAAAAAAGAAGAAAAAACTGTCAGAAATTGCCCATACCACACAGCCACGCCAATTCATAACGTGAGGCAACAACTTACCGGAATGCCATCACTTCCAACCACACGCAAGACACAGGCATCACCAAAACTGGTAGGAATCTGTAGAATCAAGTCTTCCTTTTCCATAACATATGTAACACCGTCAGCAATGAATTCCAAATTGAAGAATGGTTCGTTACATGCAATAATGGAAGCATCAAATCCCTCTGGTCGCATACAATCCACTTCTTGCGGTGGAGCAAATGCGTTGGTGGTAGTATCCACGACGAAGCACTTGGCATTGTTCAAGACTGCGAATTGTGCGACATCGTCGGGTGGTCCCACAATGTAACTGGATCCAGTGTCCACCAGAGCCACATTGGCAGTGGTCATTTTGGTGCCTCCAACCTTTACCAGATCCAAGGAAAAGTCCCAAAAGCCCTCAAACTTTTGTCCGTAGGTTGGATCGTTGAATTCGCCCAAGGTGTGCCAATTCAAACATCCAGTATAGTGCTTTTGGTTCACTCCTCCCAAGACAAACTCCGAGGTAGCATTGGGTGGAGTGGAATAGAGTCCACTTTCCAAGTTTCCGTACAAATCAGAAGCCCCTTGAAGTTTGGAATCATTGGGATAGTCGTCTTCTCCATTTAGGTAGAGAGAATACATGGGGTGCATAAGTTTGTCCTTGATGTTCTTCAGCAGAGGTGTGTACTCTCGTTCGTCATCGTAGGTAAACGCCAATCCCAAGACGCCATCCTCCCCTTCACACGATTCGAATTCGTAGACCGATGTTACTTGTGCAAACACTTGGCGCACGTTGAGGTCGTCGGACAAATGAATGATATCGTCGGCGTAACTACCATGGACCTGAACCAAAATCCAAACGAGAGAGAAAACGTGCAAGATGAAAGAGGTCAGAGGAGGTGCGTGCATTCCAACGTCATATGGACATCAGAATCATCATGATCAAGAATGAACGATTCCATACGTACCGACTCTCCATCTTCATAAACAGCACTGAACTTCCCAGTGAGATTAACGGGTGTGCTAAACGATGTCGACGAGGTTTCATCGAACTTGTTCCAGTTGGGAAAGGCACTGCAAGTATTGTCGCAATCCATGGAGGGGACCCAAATATCGGAACTTCCCGTATCAAAATCGACCAGGAATTGTTGAGGTGGTGTTCCTATTGAGATCATTCCACTCCACAAGATCATGTGACAATTGCTCAAGGGGACTGCAGCAACTTCCTTGGCGGAACGACGCCATTGACTCGGATGAGAGTATTCCGCTTCGGTTAAGCGTCGACGACGGCGATCCAAGGCCTCTAGTCGTCGGTTGCGATGGTGGAGTTGTTGAGCATGGAACGATTTGAGAATTCTGTGTTTTGTGCGCTGTACAGGAATCACGTCCACGCCCATTGCCAAGGACGATGAGAAGGACGCGGAAACGGATGCAGCAGACAAAGACGATGCCATGTTGGTATTCTTTTTGTTTTACGCGTGAAGGATTAGTCTGTCTTGTCTGATATTGATGCAGTCAAGAATAGAGACTGTTATATCAAGAGGCTTGTTTGTTTGACTGTTTGTTTGCTTGTTTGCTTGATTGATTACCAACAGTTACGGGTTCGTACCAACCAGCAGGTAGCAGTAGCAACGAAATGCAAATCGTAATCTGTTTGATTCATTCGCCAAAGTGGAGAGAGCCCACTTGTATGCGACGGCCACTCTTGTTTTGGTGGAAGTTTGGCGGGATTTTGAATCTTCTATTTGATTTTCATGCACATAGACATAAATTTTGGCCAGCGGCCGTAAGTACGACGTGTGCCGGCGGCAAAAATGATTTTCAAATATATAAGCGGCGCATGCCGAAGAAAACCTCGATAAAGTCGACCGGGTCGGTATTTTCAAAACGCTTATTTTTGTTTTCGCTTGGCTTGTTACAGCCACATGGCTGCTCGGATTTATGAAATGATAATGACGACATCTATTCTATTGCAGCAGCAGATGTAGCACCATCCACAATTCTAACATGATGGAGTCGAGCAGTTTCGGAGATTGAAAATAAGGTATGAATCAATCGAACAGATCGAATACATGGGTCAAATAAGTTCCTGGCTCCACCGAGGTACTCTACTGCAGGCTTATTGAGATAGTCTACTTGCTCCCTTTACACTGTCACCTCGTCTTTTGGATGAATTTGAAGCCTGCCGGTAGTTCGCACTTTCCTTCCTACTACTTGATTACAACCACAACTGGCGAGATATAGAGGCATCCAGCGCTTGGAAAAAGCCTCTCTCGTCGTCCGTCACCGCTGTTCTTGCAAGTAAGGAGCAAAAGACAATGCAGGCTTGGTGGATTGCGAGTAGCTACCAGCCAGGTATTCTTCCTCCACCTATAGACCTGGTTGGGACGGAATCGCCTCCTCAATCTTCAAGGGTGGTTTGGCAATCATACTTCCCGGCGCCAATTCGGCTCCCATCTTTTCGGTCAGTCGCTTGCTACTCTGACCAAAGTAACTCTGTTGCCGAATCCAAATTTGAGAGACGTACTTGGTATCCAAAGCTGGCATTGCCGCATGCAATGCAAATCGATCCAGTACCCCATAAATGGTGGCGGGGAAAAAGACCAAGGCCATGCCTTGTTTGGGCTGCACCTCAATATTCATACGAGGAAAAGCAGTGCACCCGCCCTGTGGGACATCGTTCAAGTAAATCAAGACGGTGATTGTGCGTTGACCTCCGTTGGTAGCGAATCGTTGGCCATCTTCTTCGTCCAAATTGAAGGCATCAAAGTGCTGTGGTCAATTTTTTGAAATTGAAATATAAAAGAAAAGAAAACGAATGGTGAGTTTGAGGTATTTATAGATACAATAATAGGTACCTAAGCATGAAATTTGGACTATCGTCAAATATCGTACCTGATAGTACTGCTGGTGTCTCAAATAGCGACCTACTTGAGGAAGCTCACAATGTTCGATTGGCTTTCCCGTCAGGACAGCAACCTTTCGCATCAAATCTGGGACATCCTCTCTTGCCAAATAGCAAGTACTAGAAGTTCTTGCCTGACTAATCTCTCCAGTTCCCGCACCGACCACAGGGGCTGGTGTCCATGCATCGTCTGCCGCTTGAATCAAGAATTGGCATTCTTGAGGCGTAAGAAAGTTGTCGACGACAAACATGGGGGGATTGTTGTGAAGCATCCGCACTCCTGGGTAAGTAGGATTGATGCCATTGTAGACGGGCTGTTGATCGGCGGGAAATAGAGGATGCAAGGGAATTTCACCACCTGCGGATGCCGATGGCGTGGCGTTGTCGTGGACGTTTGATGGCGTCGGAAAGGCGGAAGCAACTGTCATTATGGAGATGATAAATAGGATCAGTGCTTTTGTGTAGCTTGGAGAGTACATTCAAAGAACGGACAGCACCGCTTGGATCGTTTCGCTCTTGCCAATAATAATGTCAACGCGGTTTGATTGATTTGAGGTCTTCCATCAAACGGCTTTTGTATTGCAGGCTGACAAAATGATGCGTATGACGGACAGAGACTGCATTTTGACGTCACTTTTAGGTACCGTATACGAATACCGGTACGATAGTATATTACAAATGTACATAGTATACTCACACGATGACGGCGTTGACCATCCGCCTCATTGTTGCAATCTTCTCCCTACTCTGTTTGCACTTTACTCCGACGTTCAGTTTTTGCAACTCCTATTATTGTCAGACAAAAGCACCGATTTTTGCAACAAGAACAATAAATCTTCGTCCTAATGCTAGTCCTCATCGTACACTTGTAATTATCTCCACAATCATATTACGGAACAACAACAACAACAACAACAACGATAACGATAACGATAACGATAACAATGATGATGATGAGGAGGATCCCGACATGCTTCATGAGGAGGAGGAGGACGAAAATGACTTACAGGAGGAGGATGATGATGATGATGACGATGAAACTACCATAAAGCCCTACCGCAATCGCTCTCTTGCTTGGACGAAACGCTATCGCAAACTGAATCCATACGAAACATGCCGTGGGCGCGTCTTGCAATTTGGTCATCGCAGTAAGGAAGACTGGGACGAAGCCGTGGAATCAGGACAATTGGGCGCATACGTACCAAGTTACCCAGACGAAATGTACGCTCCGGAATGGGTTTCTTGGGACGATTGGCTGGGGTTGATGAGATCCTATGAAGAAACGCGTCAAATGGCCATTTCCGTGTTGGGATGCAAAAGTTTGGACGATTACATCCTCTTTGTTCGGTCCAATCCGAAAAGGGCGGAAGGATTGCGGATCCCAGTGCGTCCGGATTTGTTCTTTAAGGATAAATGGAAGAGTGAGGAGGACTTTTTTGGAGCTCCATTGAATTTGGGAAATTCAAAAAGCATGAACGAATGAATGATTGAATGAACAAAATGGAACGACGGATTGATGCTGAACAACTCTGGTCGAGGAAGAATCCATTCCATTTCTAGCCAGGTTTTCCAACCTTTTCAACCTTTGGTCGCCCAGATACCGGTACTATACCGGCAGGGCAAATCATAATTGACGAGCTTTTCGTTGCACAATTTGAAATCTAATATGCCGTCACAGCATACGAGTGAGTGATTCGGACCTTCGCGGATGCTGGATCCATTCATCAGAAATGCCACGCTCTCTACAAAGAAATCAATAAACAGCCTGGTTAGTTTGTAAATATATAGAATGGAAGCTTCTGCACACGAAAGACCCTCAGCTGCTGTTTATTTCTCTCGTAAAGTCGCACTTGGTTTTATGACGACATGATGATTGATTGATTGATTCATTTTTTCACTGCGCACATCCAATTCGAAGATGATTCGGAGAAGATTATTTCAACCAACTACGATATGAAAAACAATGACGAGATACATGGCATTAGTATTAGTAGAAGTATTATTAGTTACATACTGCTCCACAAAATCAAGATGATTTGGAAACAATGAGACTCTCTGGTCTTTTTCTCTTGATATTCCGAAGAACAAAGATACATCGTACTATCCACCACCATCGACAGAAGTAGTAGCTACTGTACTTGCGAGGACCTACTCATTCGATTCTGCTTCCTGATTCTTTTTCGTGCGATTCAATCATCGGGATCTACTATAGATTGAAGCAATTGCGACAAACGGAATTTTGCTTCTCCTTTTTGTCACATCGTGTGCTGGCGGCGGAGGCGGAACAAACGTGTTGGTGAGCTCCGTGCGTTATATTGTCGTGTATATCCTTCTGGCTTATTGTTGGGACCCAAAAAACCACCTTCATCTTATTGCGCCGCAGTTCACACAGTTGCCGCTGAAAAGAGTGGTTCCAAAGAACTGATCCACGCTACTGAATGCAAGATTGCGGACCACTTCTAGTAATAAAGGTTGCCTCTCCAGTACCACGTGTGGGCCGCACAGGCACTAAAACCACCTTCGATCAATTCGTCCCGCGACACAGTACACCAGCAAGACTCTTGGAATATATAGCGGCAAGTGAATTTACAGGAGTCTCATCGCACCACCAATATGATGTGTTTACTGGTTTCATATATAGTGTTTATTGTCTCGGACATTTGCCAAAAAGGCATGACAAGCCTCTCAGTGTTTTCCAATCATAGGATACCCTTCTGTATCGTCGCAATGGATTCGCAACTATGGTGGCAGATTCCCGAACCATTCAATCTCTTGCATTGCTGTATGTCTGCATCTTCGTAGAGCATATTATATTAGGGTGCGACGATGAGACGGGGTTATATTAATTATTGGGGGAAACACTGCTGACGCCAGCATCTATGTAAGTACTTTTTATTAAAAAAATGTGTGCTGCAGTATTTTATACGCCGTGCGCGCAGCTCCGGATTTTCAGAAAACGCGCTCATGTTGAGTGAGACCCGCGCATGCACATTGCCTCTATAGATATTATACCGGACTGTACTAGCCAATACTACTCGCATATCAATATTGCAATCGCAGCAGTACACTGTAACATCAAGAACGAACCTTCTTCTTAAATTAGACCTTATACAAGACAAGCAAGCTTGTAACAGTTATCAGTGGATATTCAAGGACACTTTTTAACCCGCAAATCGGAGACGATGACATCCGGATTGCGGAAGAATAATAGCGTTGAAGGTGGTTGTAGGCGGTTTGAAGACCACAGGCCAGACAGCATCACCTTACTCTTACCTCCTGGAGAGAATATCTCCAGTTCAAAAAAACACAAGTTATTGAAGTTGTGCGCAAAGAAAAGTGTACGACTCATGTGGTGCATTGCAGTTTTGATGCCTCTAGCAGTCTTTCTTTGGCAGTTTGCGGCCCTATACAACCAAGCAACATCCCTTCCCTCCGAAAAAAGATCATTGGTTTGTGTCATAAATTTGGTCTACCCAAAGGATTGGCACACACAAGAGCTAAACGATGAATCTATATCAATCATAAAGGCCTCGCCGGGTTATCATCTGCAGTATGGATCGTGCAGTCGCTTTTGCAAAACGCTTTGCAACAACGCAACGACCTTTAATTTAGATAACTGCGCTCAATCTCAATATGAAGCCTCATCTGAATGTTGCGCTGGTAAAAAGTCTTCATTCAAGCAATTCCGTCAACTTCTCAAGACAGGCGACACATGCAGCGTCACCAACTACTGCTGTCCTTTTGAGAACGAATGCCTACTACTTGGGGAGGACACAAGTATCTTCGACATTGGAGCTGACAAGAAGGGCGTCTGCCGCCGGCGGAAGTGCATTCCTGGCTATTTTTGCGACGTAGATGGAGATTGCTGTGGTGATGGGGAAAAGTGTCACAACAATAACGAAGTGGAGAGCTTTAATGGCCAGTGCAGATGAGCCAACATCTGACTTACCAAAATGTCTCCATCATTCATTTGGAAGCTTCGGCGGGCAACGCTGGCAGTCTCATTTCGTAGCTCTAGTTGTTCTTTCTGGGGCTCTGATGCTTGCGACGGTATGGGAATGCGTGCCACACGAAGCAAGTGGACAATGTGAAAGGCTTCCAATGGAACATGCTTGGAACTGCTTTGAAGCACACTCGCTTGACCAACTACCAGACAGGTTTTATGGGGGGAAATGTCGGAGTAGAATGTCCCAGACGAAAGCAGTCAAACATGTCCTTTCCTGTTAAGCTACAGTCTACATTATCCTGAAGATGAACGGATTTGTCATCTAAGGAATACGAAGCAGCTGCTTCAAAGGAACCTTTCTTGTGCTGGGTAATTGCAAACTATTGGGAGTCAATCCGCACGCCATGCTGCCTTCTGTTTTGTGCTTGTGTCACGACATTATCCGCAGATAGAAGATGACAAATTCTAAAATTCTTTCTTTCTTTCCATTACGAATCTCAAGCAAATAAATATTGTGAATAATCAAGAAGGATGCTGGTCAGGGTGAAGGAAAGAAGCATGCTGGTCAGAGTGCGAACGAAATGGGCACCATACTGAATGGATTCCAGTCAAACACTTTTTGGATGTATCTGGGCGCAGCCGCCTTTGCAAAGCGCCCAGATTGATCTATGGTATCCGCGAGTCGTCGGACTCTATCCATAGTACAACTTTTTCACACATGTATCATTTTCGTCATTTTCATTGTTGGTCAAGAATTGCAACCACACATTGCGTTCGGGAATGGAAAGTAAGCTTCGTCTGTCTTTAACAATCGAATCAATATTATCATTTTCGAGTTCTTCAAGAATCCTTGCCTATCTCGATAGCCAATTGGCGCCTTCCGCTCTGGTTGTTCTGCTTCGTGTTTCTTTGGTGTGTTTTGGTGATGGTCCTTTTGAGTTGCGTGCGAATAATCGTGCCACTCAAAGGACCAGTCTCAGATTGCCCGTAAAGCTGTGGATGGAAACATTGGGGGTGGTATTCATATGTAGAGGAGCGTATGATTGCGATGAGTTGTAATTCTTCTTTCAGACCGCAAGAGTATATTCTTGTTCAGACATGTTGATCGATGACGTCATTTATTCCCGTCTCCTTTCATTCACGAACAACGACCAGGATGCAGACAGTCACTACAGACCATGTCGAACCCTGCCGCGCGTGCGAGACGAACGATCGAGTTTTTTGCACTGTGTTGTTTTCCTCGTTGAAAACCTTTTGATATAAGACAATGGCGATAGCAACGACTACAGCCATGGTGCGAAGCCAACAATGCGACCATGAAGAACAAAAACCATGATATGATAGGCACCAATACTACGTTCACCATTAACCGTGAAGACGGAAGAGCAAATCGTTTTGGAACACACGTTGCCGTTGAGCCGAAACCGTGGAAAAAAACTATGCTCACAACTTTCGATTCAGTTTGAAACGGTTCTCGACAATAGACTTTCTACTGAGCTTGGTACATTTTTCCAAAGTCGAGACGTTTCTTGCTTCAGCAAAGCAACTTCATTTCACAACAGAATCTGCTCATATTTTTGACATTCGATCAATTGCATCGACTCAGTCCTTTCAAAAAAACTTTTGAAACAACAACAACAACAAAACACTTTCCACCATGTTGTCTCTTCGATCCATCATCATGATATTTCTTCTTTTGGCCATGCAGCCAATGGCCATGCCTTCCTTGATGAGTGCAAACTACACTCGTCCATCCATTCAAGTCTACAGTTTGGCCAACGAAAACATTGTTTCCACTGTTGACTTTGTTGGAAGCACCGTGGAAATGGAATCCACTGGTGTTCCTTCTTTCTCCCTTCCGGAGTTTATCATGTCTATTGACTACGAATCGGTCAAGGCTTTCGCACAAAACTTCAACGCGAAGTACGAAGCCTTCGCCCAAGCATTCACTGATGCAGTGTCTGCCATCGTCGAGTTCTTCAGTATGGAGTACAACGCATGCAAGCAATCGATCGACTACGAATCGATCAAGGCTTTCGCACAAGACTTCAACGAGAAGTACGAAGCCTTCATTCAAGCGTTCACTGATGCCATTTCTGCCATCTTCGAGTACGAAGCATTCCACCAATCCATTGACTACGAGTCCGTCATGTCTTTGGCAGAACTCTTAAATGAGCAGTATGAAGCATACACCCAAGAAGTGTCGACTGCCATATTTTCCAAGATCGAAATCTTCATCCAGAAACTCGAAGCATACAACCAAGAGTTCCAAGTCGAGTACCAACCAGTCTACAAGAAGCTAGAATATGTTGCCACTGACATGCTTGCTGCAGCTCCAGCTTGGCCAAGCTTTGACCATGAATTTCTTGTCAGAGATGTTTTCGATGGAGTGCAATCCTACACCACGAAGGAACCATTCGTCCCAGCACCAGTTCCACCGTTGCTATCCCTTGAGGACGCTCAATCGATTGCAATGGAGGTATTGGACTCGACCACGTTTGGTGTCATCGTCATTGCCCTCCTCGTCGCTGCTGTGA